CATGATATTTCAGCATGATGAAGCTTAGGAATTTGATTTATTTTCTTTATTTTAAATGAAAGATGAATAACGGAGTTGGAAGGGACCTTGGAGGTCTTCTAGTCCAACCCCCTGCTCAGGCAGGAAACACTATTCCATTTCAGACAAATGGTTATCCAATCTCTTCTTAAAAACTTCCAGTATTGGAGCATCAATGAGATTCTAAAGTTCCCTAAATTTTGCAATTTTCTATACTTGGTGGCAGCATAGATGGCTAAATCAAGTTGACTTCTATCATATGTGGAACATAGGCAACTGACTTCTGGGAAAGAAATGGAGAACTGAAGATGGCTCTGCTAAAAGTAGAGCTTACGATCACAACAAAACGAAGAGCTGGTGGGTAGACCAGTTCTTCATAATTCCTCTCTGGACAAAAAGAGGACTTGCGATCACCCACAAATGTTCCAGACAGTTGATTTTTGCAAGGAGACTGCAAGACTGCAGTTTCTAGTGGAGTTCTGGGAGATGATGAACAGCCATTTTGCTGAAATCATATTTGATGCCATCAAAAAGGACATTGGGTCCTCATACTTCCTTTTCTAATCACTTTTGGAAATTGCTTGTTAACTGTTTTTCAGCTTTTAAAAACCTTTGGATCTTCAGGTTTTACAGCACTGAGTTGAGTGAGTTTCCTTCAAACCTTACCAAAAGAAGTTTTAAATACAGGTTGAAGGACTTAAGTTTTTTTGAATAAACAGGGAAAAAACCTTGGATTTTAGAAAGTTACAATTGGACTAAGGGTCCAGATAAATTTGAAATAAGATTTTGAAATTAACTATGAATATCCATCCCATGGGAAAATGCTTTTGTTCTGACTTCTTTTTTTTAAATGTAAGATTTTAAAAACTGGACACTAGAGGGAACTAGAAGGAACTAAAATTACAACTAAAGGAGAAGACTACTGAAACTTGACTTAGGAATACAAAATAAAGAAAAGTATTTTAATATTGATATATTGAATGATATGTTTGTACAATGCTCTCAGAAGTGTCTATTTCTATAGATAAAGTTAACAAGATATTATGGAAGGGGAATAAGTTTTACCTTACAAAATTGAAACTGAACTGAAAGTGGATTTAAAAATGACTGTCAAGCATGGGAAAATCAGAAGTCCAGTCAGTTCAAATAAATATAAAGTTTTATTGCAAGCTTATACTCTCTACAAGAATCTGAACTACTAGTGGTCAAAGCAAATGGGTGGTAGATAAGAGTCAATGGAATTCAAAATGGCCTGAACTTAGATCTCTTGTGGGCAGGAAGCCCCTCCCTTAGGTTCAGCCTGGTCATCTCCTATAATGACAAGCTACAAGAATGACATGGAAAAAGATGTTATACTGGACATAGAAAAGAAAGCAGATAATGTCTTGATAATTAAAAAAGTTATACAAGGACAAACCAAGAAAGTCATCTGGATAATATTCCTATATTGGATTTACAAAAGAGACTTGTTAAAACTTTGAAGAAATATGTATGAAGGGACCAAGAAAAATAATAATACAAAAATCTAACTCTAGGACTGTCAGCATTTCAACGCTGGCATAGAGAGAGCAGAGGAGAGCGAGAGATAAGCTCTGAAACTTTTGCCTGCTAAATCCCTTTGAAGCCCGGTTGTCGTGGAAATGAAGGGAGGGGGCACATTCCTGGGAAGTGACGAGGAAAAGAAGTCTGAAGAATGACTTGGAAGACAGCCAATGAGAAGCAGAGATTTGGGGATCGGAAAGGGAGGGATTGGGAGGCAAAAGGTCAGTCTTGTCCACGCGGAGTCATGATCCAGTGGCTGAGCTCAATTAAAGAAAGATTTCCTTAAAGATTGGCAGTTTGGAAATTCATTTAATTTTGAGATAGCACCGTAGTCTGACAAGGACATTATTTGAAAGGACCAAATATCAAGATTTGTAAAAGTAAAGGGAAGGAATATAAAGTTAGATTATTTGGTCAAAGTTAAAATAAATATATTGTTATCTCTGATAATCCTTAATGGACTTTTGCTAATTGAGACTGAAATGACAAGACTTGAAGGATTTCTTTACAGATAAAAATGGGATATGAGAAGAAGAAAACAGTTGTTATATTTTAAGAGAAGATGATATTGTGGTTTATTAGCAGTTGAAAAACTGTACTGAATAAAACTGACTTGTAAAAACATAGCTTTGCTTTTAGGGTTTTCGAAGAGTTGGAATTTGGCCAATGAGTATAAAAAATGCAACAGGGAAAAAGTCAGATTTATATTTAAATAACATTTTATGTGCTGTTCCCTATTGCCTTATTGAATTTTGGAGTGGTTTATCAGCAATGCTCCAGACTACATTATAAATTATTCAGTTCTTTAATGTAGTTGGCATCATTAGCATGACTTTATTTAGTACCTTTTGGTTAGGATTCCAGAAATCCTGGAGACTAACCCTGAACTTTTTAGAAACAGTGGTTAGCAGTTGGCAGTTTTAAAAGTGGTGGTTAACAAAACCAGATAAATCTTGGTTTTGCAGTTCTATCCCTGAAAAGGAAGGTTTCTTCCCTTCTTCCAAATGTGCAGGTATACAAACAAGTTGTTCACAGGTTCTCCTCTCGCCACAAAAAGACCATGGAAGGATATGTCAAAGGTGCTTTTTCAAAAGGCAACTAGACTATGTTTTTGTTTTGTTTTTTTTAAATTTGATTTATATGCCGCCCTTCTCCGAAGACTCAGGGCGGCTTACAATGTGCTCAGCAATAGCCTTCATCCTTTTGTATATTTATACAAAGTCAGCTTATTGCCCCCACAACTGGGTCCTCAATTTACCTACCTTAGAAAGGATGGAAGGCTGAGTCAACCTTGAGCCTTGGCGAGATTCGAACCCTGCAGTAATTGCAGGCAGCTGGTCTTAATAACCAGCTTAATAACAGGGTGCCTTAAACCCCTGTACTACCAAGGCTCTTTCCCTTGAGGAAGAAGAATATGTTTCGCTTCTCATCCAAGAAGTTTAGTCAGTTCTGATAGCAATAGCACTTAGACTTATATACTGCTTCACAGTGCTTTACAGCCCTCTCTAAGCGATTTACAGAGTCAGCATTTTGCCTCCAATATGGGTCTTCATTTTACCAACCTCAGAAGGAGGGAAAGCTGAATCAAACATGAGCCGGTGAGAATTGAACTGCTGGCGATCGGCAGTCAGCAGAATTAGCTTGCAATACTGCATTCTAACCACTGCACCACCACAGCTCCTGATGAAGATTTTTGGATGAGAAGCGAAACATCTTCCTCCTCCTCAAAGGGAAAACATAGTCCATTTGCCTTTTGAAAAACATATTTGAGACAACCATGACCTGGATGATTGAGAATCTCCATAGATACCATGGAGGGATATTTACTTAGTGCATGGAGTCTGCATTCTTGGAGGATCCAAGAATAGCCATGGTCCTCCTTATGGACCTTCAGTTAATATAGGGAATGTTGATAAGGAAGGAACTGCAGCATGTATCTCCTTCAACTTCCATATATTCTACTTGTTGATGCATCAAGAAAACTTCACATCTTATCATAAATCAAATGAGGAGCATAAATGCTTCTTGAGATACATTTGAAAGCCTTATTACAAGATGCAGAATCCCCAATTTCAAGATAGTTCCCCAGGTTTATTAGCACTAAAATGTCTACCAGTGTTAAGGAAAAGTCAATAATTCCAGAAAAGAGAGGAAAGAAACATACAAAGTGGTCTGGGTGGGGGAGAAGTCCTGATTTGCAACCGTGACATAAAGCAGAAGATGGGAACATCTGTGGCTTCCACATCTTGCTGAAATACAGCTCCATCAAAGTTGAGCACCTGCAGAGATGGTGGGGAAGTCATACTGTTTGGATAGTCCACAGTAATAGCTGCTATGCTGGGAGATAAGCAAAAGAATCTGTGCTAAAAGCTCTCAGTGTCTGTGATTCACTTCAGTGGAACTAAAATGCCCTCATAAAATACAAGCAAAACTCAGAGCAATAACTTTTCTTTGCAGCCATTCAGAAATTTAGGGGACAAAAACAGTAGTAATCACAGATTTCTAAGCTTTGTGGGAAGCATCAAACTGCTGCCATATGTAGCTACAGAGAGAAGAAAGTTGACTCTTAATTTAGACCTGCAGATGGACAGATGTTGTTAGCACTAGTCCACAAATTGGGAGGAAATATTTTGTGTAAAGATTGTTTATCTTTCCTTATTTTATTTGTATCCCACCTTTATTATTTTTGCAAATAACTCTAGACGTTGAACGTATCCAACACATCCGCCGCCTCCTACACAACAACGACATTGTGAGGTGAATTGGGTTGAAAGAGAATAACTGGCCTAAAGACACCCAGCTGGTTTTCATGGCTAAGGCAGGGCTGGAACTCACAGTCTCCTGGTTTCTAGCCTGTGCCTTAACCTCTAGACCCATGATGGCGAACCTATGGCATGCGTGCCTGAAGTGGCACATGAAGCCATGTCTCCTGGCATGCGCATTGTCCCCTGTTCCTCTTCCGTGTTTGTGGCACGCATGCGCACGTGACATTCAGCATGCGGCAGTGCTAGAAACTAGAAGATCTTCCAGCTGGTCTTCCGTTTTCCTGCGTGAGCATGCACCCCAGCCAGCTGATTGTCATGTGCGCATGGGCACCAGAAACCCAGAAAAGTAGCTGGCGGAAGTTCAGTAGCTGAAACCGGAAGTTCATTTTCTGGTGCGTGCATGTGCCCTGGGCAGCTCCTCCTCCAGGTTGCGGTCCAGACACGCTCTCTCTCTCTCTTTTCGGCACTCGGTGCAGAAAAGGTTCGCCATCACTGTTCTAGACCAAATGTGTTCCTGCACTGAAGCTATAACGTCTCCTTTGGTAAAGTTAATTACATTAGTGGTTTATTTATATTTCAGGTATATTATTTCTCTTCCAGAGAAGCAACTCAAACATTTTCTGGCTGCTAAAGTTTTTAAACAGTTTCAATACTTTTTTTTTTTTTCTATTTCAGCGATTCATGAATTTCCTCAGGATTTTTTCAAAAACAAAGAAAGGCAGCAAGGAGCAGTATTGCTTCATATTCTTGGTGTAAGTATTCCTAGGACATCTGAAGCATGTTCAAAATATACTCCTCAATTACTTATTTACATTGAGCGTGGTGGCTCACATGGTTAGGATACTGAGCTGGAGGTTACTAAGCCCACGTTCGAGGCTGCTGCGGGTTGGGATGACCCTCCAGTCATTTGCTGCAGCTCCTTGACAGGGACATGAAAGGAGCCCCCACAGACATGCCCCGGGCAATGGTGATGTCACTAATCCTTTCAACTCAGATGGTACCTCCAACATGAATGGGGCAGGGGGGACCTATTCATATCCATCTCTTGCAGAAGGCTTAGGGAATGTACATTTTATTCAGGCAAAGATTAGATTTAATGGGAATGATATTAGATCCTTTAAAATATCCTAAGGTTATTGCAGGAAGAATAAGATAGAAATAAAAATGTTCTGAAGATTGGCAACTGATATATATATATATATATATATATATATATATGAATCTAATATATTTAAATAAATTAGAAGACAATTCACAACCTTCAACTGGTGCAAATCCACTGGTGTGTTTCCAAGCTCAACCCATATAATTTGTTACTCCTCTGGATTTTGTTTTCGCTGGCTGGATCCATTAGATTAAAGGAGAAAAAAGATCTGTTCAGGGCAAATTCATCCAACAAAAATTATTTCTTCATTTAATTGCTATGATTCAACCTACTTTGCATACCGCTCCTTCCAGTATTTGGTCTGTGGCCTCTGGACATCAAAACATTGCCTACAAATGGCCCTTACCATCTGCTTAAAAGTTTTTAACGTTTGCTCTATTTTATTGTTGCTCCTTAAAGATTTTGGTTTATACTTCTGGCATTTCACCTTTGCTTTTTTTTTTGTCAAAAAAATCAATCTTGAGAAACCTTTCTGATTTGAAAAGCAGTACAGTATAATAACAAAACACAGCTTAATTTTGCATTCCATTTATCTACTTAACATTGGAGCTGGGGCTACTTCCAAAGAATGTCTAGGCTGAACATTTTCTAGTTTAAAGATACAATAAGATGCAAAAGACTGTATGAGGCTGCCAGTATTTTCTTGTCCTATATTACTTGTATCTAGTTTATTTTGTAATAATTTAATGAATATATCTGCTGTGTGTTTTTTCTACAGGCTCTGTATATGTTCTATGCCTTGGCTATTGTATGCGATGATTTCTTTGTTCCATCTTTAGAAAAAATTTGTGAGGTATGTGAAAATTATTTTCATCTTTCTAAATCAGCTTGTGATATACTAAGAGAGACACCTTGCAGGCATGGAGGCTGACCAAATAAACCCTCAGGTTTTTAACATATTGCCCTATGGATAGCTTGCTCCTATTTGTTGAATTCTATTCTGAAAGATGTTTAAATCAACTCAATCTCAAACAAAGATTGAGAATCTCCTTAGATACAGGCTCGTATTACCACATATGGTAGACATGTCCAAAAGCAAAAAAATACTGGACTAAAATACCCACCTGGCTAAAAAAAACTGATAAAGGAACATATAAATTTAAAACTGGAAATATTTCTCTTGGGCATCACACCAGACAAATACAGTAAAAGGAATGCATATTTAATAATACATGTGTTAACAGCAGCCAGAATCATGTTCACACAACATTGGAAGGGCAAGGAAATATCTTCCCCACAGAGGAAAAGATAATAACAAAAATTTTAGAATGTGCAGAAATGAATAAATTAACATTTGAAATTAAAGAAAAGGAAGACACTGAATATTTTGAGATATGGGATCTGTTTTATCAATAGTTAAATAAGAGAAACAGGAGTTAGAACTTCTAAAACTACAAGAGAAAGATTAATTTTATTATTAGGGTTGATTACTGTAATAGATGAGGAAGAAATGGAGGTAGTGACAGATTTTATTTTCCTGGGCTCCAAGATCACCGCAGATGGGGATTGCAGCCAAGAAATTAAAAGACACTTGCTCCTGGGGAGGAAAAGTATGGCAAATCTAGATAGTTTAGTAAAAAGCAGAGACATCACCCTGCCAACAAAAGTGTGTATAGTCAAATGCGTATAGTTTTCCCAGTTGCAATGTATGGCTGTGAAAGTTGGGCCATAAGAAAGGCTGAGTCCAAAGAATTGAGGCCTTTGAACTATGGTGCTGGAGAAGACTCCTACGAGTCCCTTGGACTGCAACGCGAACAAACCGGTTAGTCCTAGAGGAGATCAACCATGACTGCTCTTTAGAAGGCCAGATGCTGAAGATGAAACTCAAATACTTTGGCCACCAAATGAGAAGGAAGGACTCACTGGAGAAGAGCCTAATGCTGGGAAAGATTGAAGGCAAAAGAAGAAGGGGACGACAGAACGATGTGGCTGGATGGAGTCACTGAAGCAGTAGGCATGAGCTTAAATGGACTCCAGAGGATGGTAGAGGACAGGAAGGCCTGGAGGAACGTTGTCCATGGGGTCGCGATGGGTTGGACACTACTTCACAACTAACAACAACAAACTGTAACTTATTAATTTTGATTAATTCTGATTAGTATTAACAATTAATAAGTGTTAATATTATGAGGGAAAAACACTGTTATTATGAGATTACTATCAGAGAACACTATTACTATGATGAATATTACTCAAAAGAATTGTAACCAGACAACACACTGTCTATATGGATTTTGAACATGTTGCTCTTTCTATTTCTATTAATAGAAATAAAATGATTACTTCTGAGAGCTGATACATTCCACCATCAAAAAAAAGAAGAGAGAATCTCCTTAAATGTTTAAATTGTATTTATTTATTTATTTATTTATTTATTTATTTATTTATTTATTTATTTGTCAAGTACGTATTAGATAATATATATAAGTATAAGCATGGATTGAATACATAAAATGAATACAAATAAAGGGAACATTAGGACCGGGATGGTAGGCACGCTGGTGCTCTTATGCACGTCCCTTACAGACCTCTTAGGAATGGGGAGAGATCAACAGTAGACAGTCTTAGATTAAAATTTTGGGGGTTTGGGGATGAAACTACAGAGTCAGGTAGTGCATTCCAGGCATTGACCACTCTGTTGCTGAAGTCATATTTTCTGCAATAAAGTTTGGAGCAGTTCTCTCAACCAAACAAAAATTTTCCAAACAAAATCAAACAAAATATTTGGTTTCACTTCCCCTTTTTCATCAGTTGTACAGATTCTTTAAGCGGGGCTGCAGCTAGTGAAATGTTGAATTCTTCTCTTTATTTTTCCCCAGAAACTACATCTGAGTGAAGATGTTGCAGGAGCCACATTCATGGCTGCTGGAAGTTCAACCCCCGAGTTATTTGCATCAGTCATAGGTAAGTGAATATACAAGATATGCAAATTCTTCCCATAGGCAGATCACAAAAACAGCTACTCTACAGTTAAGTTTCTGTGATTTTTAGAATAACTGTACCAGTGGCTATTTTGGATTTTGTTAGGAGTCTTCCACTTCCACTAAAGCATACCTGGGCATGGTTTACCAGGGTGTGGATGAGATCAGGAAAATAATTATATTTGACTTTATATCTGTCAAATTAACATTAAATGCAGTTAATGTGATTATGCCTATAAATAATTTTCCTGTCTGTCATGTTATAATTATAATAATAGGCTTGTGTATCTTGTTATTGTAGATATCCTTGCGCAGCCCATCAGGTCTCCATAGTTCATATATTCATTTGTCTTCCTTCCCCATCCTACAGTATAAACACCAGTAAAGTAGTGGTGGGATTCAAATTTTTTTACTACCGTTTCTGTGGGCGTGGCTTGGTGGATGTGGCATGGCTTGGTGGGTGTGGCAGAGGAAGGATACTGTAAAATCTCCATTCCCTCCTGATCAGCTGGGACTCAGGAGGCAGACAATAGATGGGTGTGGGGCCAGTCAGAGGTGGTATGGTATTTACTGGTTCTCCAAACTACTCAAAATTTCTGCCACTGGTTCTCCAGAACTGGTCAGAACCTGCTGAATACCACATTTGCAGTAAAGACCAAGCCATCTGAAAAAGTTTTCTGCTGTTAGTGTATCCTTGATGGAGTCATTATCTAACACAGGGGTTCCCAACCCCCCAGTCTGGCATGCCAGAAACTAAGCCACACAAACAAGCGAAGCCCTATCCGCGGGATGCAAGCAGCATAGAATCTACAGCCCTTCCGGTCCGCAGAAAAACCTCTCTTCACGGAGTCGGTCCCTGGTGCCCAAAAGGTTGGGGGCCACTGATCAAACAGATATCAGTCACAAACAAAATTCTAATGCAAATGAAGCCAGGCAAACTACTTTTGTATGCAAGCATATGCTTGTATACACAAAAACGCCTCTATTTCATCCTTGTCCCAGTGAAGCAGTTTTGCTTAGCAACAGTTTCCTCCTGGTGCTAATGGAACCAAAGAGTAATTGGGGCAGAGGAAAGAGGAGGAGGATGCGGGAAGGTGCAATTCCATACACTTTCCATCTACCCAATCTAGAAGCCACAGGGATGGTACAGGTAATCTTCGACTTACAACAGTTCATTTAGTGACTGTTCAAAGTTACAACAGCATTGAAAAAAGAGACTTATGACCATTTTTCACACTTATAACCTTTGTAGCCTCCCCATGATCATGTGATCAAAATTCAGATGCTTGGTAATACTGGTTCATACTTATGACCATAGCTGTATCGCAAGGTCATGTGATCACCTTTTGCACCCTTCTCACAAGCAAAATCAATGGGGAAGGCAGATTCACTTAACAACCATGTTACTAACTTATCAACTGCAGTGATTCACTTAACAACTGTGGCAAGAAAGGTTGTAAAATGGGGCAAAACTCACTTAACAAATGTCTCACTTAACAACAGAAATTTGGGGATCAATTGTGGTCGTAAGTTGAAGACTACTTGTATGATCCCGAGTGGTTATGTCACCCTTCTCCCATGTTCAATTAAGTTTTAAAAAGCTTTCTTTCTAACAAACATCTGGAAAGAGCACACCGCATATGCAGGCCTGATAGACATGCTGACTTCTTGGGAGGACTTGTGAGATTGCCAGTCACTTCCCAGTATATTAATGCTCCCTTCACTTTTTCAGTCTAGGTTATTTTCTCAGGGAATCATAGAGTTATGCCATTTAGGCCATCAAATCCACTCTTATCAACCAGTTCAGTGTTGGAGTCCCCATTAAAGATTCTTGACAAATGTCTACCTTGGGAAGGAGAGGTCACTGCTTTCTTACAGAATTGACTGCACTAACTGCCACATTGGACATGAGACATAAGTAATAAATTTCCAAATTCTTCTAATTGCAGTGAAAGCTAAATCTCTCACCACTCTTTCTTTTTTTTGTCTATTCAACCAGGTGTGTTTATTACTCATGGTGATGTAGGAGTTGGAACCATTGTTGGTTCTGCCGTTTTCAATATCCTCTGCATTATTGGTGTCTGTGGAATCTTTGCTGGGCAGGTTAGTAAAGTACATTCATTCATTCATTCATTCATTCATTCATTTTTCCATTATATAGGGGAATATAGTATATACAAAAGAAAGTACTTGAATGTGATTATTTTAATTACAAACATCATATGCTCTCTCTATATATGATATTGTGAACATCTATAGATTTTATTTCAGGCTTAGTTCTTACGCAAATGAATCAACTTGAAATAGTTTTATAATATATATAGATAAATCATGACGTGTTAATATAAATGTTATTCTGAGAAAAATCTATTTTCCTTCCTCCAACAGAGTGCAGCCAAACATCATAGTTGGCTGGAACCCACATTAAAGGGATTCACTACTTTACACTATTTTAAGTATTGTACATTAAACAAACTTAATTAAAGCTGAAGAATAGTAACCTCAATGACTTATTGGAGAGCTGTGGCAATTGGGATTCTGTGTGTACATGTGCACTTTATTGAACAACAGAAATAAACATCATAATGTTAACTTAATAATGATAAGAAGAAAGCATATTTCTATAAAGGATATCAGCTACAAAAAATTTACCAAATGAATCACTACATTTTTACTATTGGCAATTATTTTACTATGCTTTAGAAAATATTATTGTTTTAAAATATGTATTTTTAATGTCTGATGCAAACTGTGGGAATCCCTGAAGTTTATATTGGCATTAGAATACAGCAAATGAATGAAGAAAAGTTCTTTCCTGTCTGTTGCAAAACAATTAAGGACTTTTCCTATTCAACCATAGTTCTGATCGTAATCTCCCACCCTCCCATGCCAAATGGCAATTGAAGTGAAGAAGGAAAATGTTTTAAATATTCTCTGCAAGTGATTATTCTGATCTTGGATGGCATTAACTGCCTAGAGTCATTGGGATACAAATTAAATAAATAATGATGGTTCTAGCAAGCTTTTGATGTTTTTAAAATATCCATATGAGAGGAAATGGCCTATTTTAGCATCATGCATATAGGTTGGCCTTCTCTTTTCATTGATGAGAATTAAAGTAACTTTTCTGATCAGGTGCCCTGCAGATGTGTTGGGCTTAAAACTTCAGAATTCCCAGTCAGCAAGAAATAATGCATGCTCTTGACTTTTTTTAAAAAAACAGGTAAAACTTTCTTCTCCTACCTAGCTGTTCTGATCTAGGCTTCCTGAGAAAGCTTAAATCACATGCTTAGTTCCAAAAAACCCCTCTTTTATTTAAACAGCTGTGAATTATGGTCATTCACAGCCCGTAATAATTCACAAACATTCTGTGAAGAATCCGACAGATGTCTGCCACAGTCTTTCAAGGTAATACTGATAAGCACCCATCTATATCTCCCTTGAAACGCTGCCAGAGACCTAATTGCCAATTAGTTTTTCAAGGCCAAACGGAGCATAGAATCAAACAGAACTTCTCAGAGTTTGAACCGACTAGAATGAACAAATTGCTTCCTGCAAAGGCTCATGTCCGTTTTCTCCTCTCTTATGTCTTATGGGAGGGGCCAATCATCTCCAAGCCTTACTCCCAAGTCTCCCCTTTTGTCTTAACTGTTCTTGCCACCTGGCACCTCTGCACATGCACGCACTGGGAACAGGCTCTCCTTGTTCTTTTGCCTCACTGATGTCAGATTCCGGAGGCTCCAGAGGCAGCACATAACTACCAGATAGCCCTGGCCCCCTCTCTGCCTCCGACGCAGAGCCCTCATCCAAGCCTTCCCAAGACTCCAGGACTGGCCCACGTTCCTTCCCAACCTCCTCACTTTCCAAATCTGCTGCCAGCTCTGCTGGCCGCTGGCAGACCACAACACTAGCAACAGCTGTTCAACACATGAAGTAGAGTCCAAATGAATTAGAATATTTCATTATAGTTTTGTGATTCTGAGCCTTCTTGCCCTCCCTGAGAGGACTAGGAGTTCATGGCCACTCTACTAACCTAAGTCATCATGGCCTAATCCACATGGGAGGCCATACATCAGCTCTAGTTCTTGTTTTTGAGCAGATACAACATCATCTAGTGATCAATGTCTGTGTTTTGTCAGATTACTGCTTGAATGGTATTTTGAGGTCATCAATTTTGAGGGAGAATGGAACTTGTCAGCTCCTCATAATTTCTGGAATTTTCTGAGACCTTGGAGGGCAGTTTTTCTGAGGCCTTAGTTGCCAAGTGAAATTCCAGGGTGATAGCAGCTTTAGATAGGAGTGTACCCAAGCAGCATCTCCCAGATCATAGATTGCAGGGAATTTAGCTTACCAAGATGCTATGGGAAATAACGTGACCAAAGAGAATAGAATAGAATCCCATTAACTTGAAATAAGACAAAAAATAAGTGTGGTCAGACATGGGTAACAGCTGAGATCTGAGCCTACGCTGTAGTGATAAGAATGACCAAAGGCCAATATTGTCTCCACTTTTACTGCATCCTCAGATTGTCATTTATCAACCCTCTTTAAAATGACCTGAATTATCCTTTTTATGGAAGGATGAAAGAACAACTGCAAAACAGGCTAAAGTCTAAAGTTTAATCCCAGGAAGTGGTCCTCTGGTTCGGGATAGGATTGTATTATCCCAGTCAAAACTGGCTGGTAATCTGTGGGTCCTTCTGGACTCTCATTCCTGCTGAAGGAGCAAGTAGCAGCCTTCACAGTTTCACACAAACACACAGTTCCCAGATGAGCTTTTTCATCGGCCCTCCTCTTGAGATTAGACCAGCTTCTTCCTTTTTAATTCTGTGTTCTGAAAACCACTGGTTAAAGATCTGGCTATTCCTAAAGGCTTGGGGTGGGAACTACAGTAGGAAGACAGTTCCCTTTCTTATGGTTTGCTTATTTTTTGGGGGTACCATTTATTACATTGTAATCTGTTGCTTCATCTTTTTCTGTTTGTTATTTTGATGTACTGTTTTTAATCCTCCTACTGGAGAGTGTTTTGTAAGCCTCTCTGAGTATCCGTGGATTAGAGTGCCATATAAACCCTAGTAAATAAGTAAACAAGCATGCAAGTAAATAAATAAATAAAAGTCCTTTGCTCTGTCCGCCTGACATTTATGAGCATTGTAGATCTAAAACAGACTCATGTTTAATTTCTAAGTTATGTTCCAAATAACTTTTTTTTTCTTCATGGAAAATTTAAATTTTTCCGGTAATAAACACAGGACTAAACCAGCCAAAGTTTTACTGCCTTTATTTGATAAGAGTTATAGATAAATATTAATTCTATCTTTAGTCTCAGTGGAGGCAAACTTTGCTCAAGTGGTTATTAAGCAAAGAAATTATTTTAACAACGTTTTGGTAACTAGCTATTTATTCATTTATTTGTCAATTTGAATTTGTTCTTTGTTCTGGTGTTTACATTTCAATAGATTTATTTATATGCATTTTAATTGTGGTTGACTAGTATCCTATCTAGCCTTTGTACTCTTTTTTAAAAATTATACACAGATTGATTGAAATTATTCTTACTAGAATTTATTAAAGTGTTTCACTTTAGCAGGATTGTGTCTGCTTCATTTATTACTCTACTTCCATATGAAAAATCACTACAATCATTGATTTTCTTAATTTTCTGTTTCTAAATGATGTGTAAAGTGGTTTACCACATCCGTAGTGTTTTTAGCTTTGTTCTTTCAGGAGATGGACTTTTAAATTGAAGACTTTAAACAAAGTTGTTTCTGTCCCCTCACTTAATCCAATTGAAAATTGAGTAACTGCTACTTAAGTAACAATTAAATGTACTTTTTAAACAGCATGCCACACAATAATTATGCAATTCCTTTGATTCACTGGAATTAAAATCCTCTTAGGAACTTTTCTTACATCAGTTTGAAGCAATTCTTTTCCTGTTTAAAAGGTTTAAGTTTCCTGTTTTCTGTATCTGTGCAACTGCATTTTTTTTTATGGGAAGAGGTTTTGAATAATCACTATTTTCTGATGTTTTTGGAGTATTGCTTGTTCTGTAAACATATTTTTCTCTTTTGGAGCTTTTAAGTAGATAATAATCCTAAAAGAATCTCTTCTGGAAGTTAAGGTTTATTATATAAACTTAACTATTTATTTGATCCTTCAGCCCAGTAATTATTTGGAAATATGTTTTGCATGTTATTCTAAACCATGATTAACTGGTTTATTGAGCATGCCGTGTTCACACATTGTGCTAAGCAAATCCAGGCAAAAATCATTGTAGCTTAGCAGAATGTGTAAATAGCTGCTAGTAAGCCAAGAAAAAAAATATTTATGATATAATATTCTTTTTCCTGTTTGGTTAAGGTTAGGGGTTAGGGGTTAAGGTTAGGATTATAGTGATTGGTGAACAAAGAAAAGCTTTGTGTCACCTGAAAGTCTAACAAATTTTTTGTGTGATACTTTGGAAGAGTCTATAATCAGATGCTCATGAGGTTATCTGAGTGTCAAGGTAGGAAAAATCCTGTTAATTGTTATTGTAATTAAATCGGTTATTAATTGTTGGATGATAATACAGAGCACTAGAGTTTCATACCCATTCCAGCACATAAGCATAATTGTCTCTATAAATTCATAACTAAGAATGGCATGAACTTTCTCATTTATGCGTATGGACTACAAACCACAAATCCTACACTACTACAAATATTTCATTCTTTAAGATGCCACATTCCCCCCCCCAACATAGACTGACACACTTATTTCTCAGTGAATAGAGTACTTACATTTTCATTGTCTCTGACTGATTAATATCTTATCCAATTCTGTCAGTTCCATATAAAAACTATATAATTTACCATTTTTTTCATATCTAGATTGTATTTGCAGTTGTGTTCACCCGAAAGATTGGGGAAAATGTTTAAAGACAAATCAACTAAATGTTGAAAATGTCACCAGACGCCGGGGTCGTATTATCATATGTGGTGGACATGTGTAGAAGCAAAACCATATTGGGCAAGAATTTGTATGCGGTTGGAGAAGATGACACAGCAGCATATTGATTTAAAACCTGAGATATTCCTTTTGGGGATTTTACCAGAAATTTATAGTAAAGAAAATGTATATTTGATTATTCATTTAATAACTGCAGCTATATTGTATTTGCACAAAATTGGAAGGGTAAAGAGATCCCTACAGAAGAAAATGTGATTAAAAAATATTAGAATGTGCAGAAATGAATAGATTAACACTTGCAATTAAAGGAAAGGAAGAATCTGACTACTATAATATATGGGATTTATTTTATCAATGGTTAGAGAATAAACATGAAAGCAAGGTATTATAAAGTTAAGTAAGTTAAGAAGAGAAATGTTATAGTAATAGATATGTTACTAATATATTACTAATATATTATGTATTAGTATTAAAATAAGAGTAGATATAAATAATGAATATGGTGATAAGCTTAAACTGTTATGACACAAAAAAATTGTACCCAGATAACACACTGTTTAATGAATGATGAAATGTTTGTATTAAAAGAAAATAAAGCTTTATAGAAAGTCTCATATGACTTCACTGCATGATTTTGATAATGTAAAACTAGAAATTAAGATAGAACAAGATTATGTAGAAAAATACAGGTTCAGATATAATTGTTCTCCTTCCTTAAAGGGATACCTTTTAATTAACAGCAATGCTAACTAGTAAGTGATAAGATTGTAGTGAGATGTGAATGCCTATATGAACCTTATTTCATCAGCCTTGGTTGGTTTAAGAATCTGTGGCAAAATCTAAAATCCAAGCATTGTCAAGATAGAGTTTGCTATATGGAATAATTGTATCTTTTTTTCTAGGTGGTCCGTCTCACTTGGTGGTCTGTGTGCAGGGATTCTGCCTACTACACACTGTCTGTAATAGTCCTTATTGTGGTAAGTTTCGTCAGTTTTCTTCACCATGTTCTGGAACATAGCTGAGCTTGAGATTTTGGTTCTCAATAGACCTCCTTATAAAAGGACTCCTTAAAGACAAATATGGTGGATTTTCCCATTTTAAAAAATCGCACACAAAGGATCTTGGGAACCACCCAGAGTTGGTTAGAAGACGGGTGACTATAAAAATATTTTAAATAAATAAGTAAGTAAGTAGATAAATAAGATATTAAATGTGTATGCTTCGGTCTCCCACAACCTGGTACCTTTTAGATCAGGTGAGAAGGCAACTTCCTGGAATGACTATGCTATCTTAGAATTAAGAGATGCATTCAAACACATAACCATCTTCATGTTGTTTACAGCTGCTCTTGGTTTTATGTTTTTAAATGTTTTTGTTATTTTAATGTCGTAGCTGTCCAGGATAATTTACTTGAGATGGATGCCTATATAAATATATTAAATGAATGAATGGATGGATAGATGAATGAATGAATGAATGAATGCATACATACATACATACATACATACGGCCATTAGCAGATGGGGCAAGGGCAGTGAATCTTCTGCATTCTTTCATGTGTTTATCGACAACTTGAAATTAACTTGAATTTCTGCATAGGCAAATTCCCAATCAGCCTGAGGTCCCAATGGTCCCATTTGGCAGTGATGACAAACAACCAGGAGCAATATTAGAAGAGACTTTGCTATCGTTTCCAATTCCTGAGCTGCAGCATGATCCTGTGTTAGGAGATTAATAGGAAATTTAAATGACTGCTTAACCCTGCCATGATGTGACCTGGGAAAGACATCAGCTGTGAACTTTGAGAGATGTCCAGGGATGCTAAAAGTTGCTTTTAGCATTATGAACAATTGCTTTTAATTATTTTAGGGCTGGCTTTGTTCGTGATAAAAATCCATTAATTCTCCCCAAATGAGCCACTTGAAGCAGCCAAATCTTGACAACTGTTAGCCAAATGTAATGCCGAAATGCCACCTTCCTATAGTCTAAATTAAACTATATATACCTATTTTTTCTTAGTACATATTGTACTGAATTTTGGATCAGTGAGGTAGTTGTCCTGTAAAGTTAGAAATGCAAGAACAGCATATTGCTTTTTATTTTAAGGAAATCATCTATTCACAGGAATTACTTTATTCCAAGCGTCTTCAGTGCTTTCTAATTCATGGCCTCTCAATCTGGACTTTGCAGCTCTGTCCACTATATAATTTAATCACTGTCTACAACAAACTTCCCAACTTGACCTCCAATTCTCTTCGCTTGGAAGTCTTGGAGAAATAATCTTAATATACCAGGAAGTTCCCAGATTTGCCAAGTTTGCTCTACCTAAAAAATGCTACTATATATTTTGCCAAGCATCAGTGTTGATGTGGCAACCAAGTGGCTTTCATTACTGAAACAATGATTCAGGACCAAAGATCAGTAGGAACTAAGAATAAAATTCCTAGCTGATTCTGCTTGGAGACCATTCTATGCTCAGCTTTATATGTATACATGCCACTGTCTTCTATAATGTAACCAATTTTTTTAAAACCTGAATTATATAATTATTCCATTTTTTCCTTTCTTTTTCACTTTTTTTTTTTAGTTTATATATGATGAGAAAATTGTATGGTAAGTGGTTCTTTTCATTTCTTCATGTTGTTTGATTAAGGGAAATAAATTTGGACATGCAGAGCAAATCTGCCCTTGGGGTTGGATGGAATTATGTTTTTTGTAAAACTTCCAGCACACCCTCCAACTTGGATTCTCTCTGTAATTAGGATAGAAAACTGGGGAACTATTCTGTTCTTCCTGTTACAGGTAGAGACCGATAGTTGCGGACTAGTTTTATTGATGTGTCAGTAAAGCAAGAGGTTTTTTGGATCTGGAAATCTCATAGTTATTTCTAATGGTTTCCTGGCACACTTTGCTTCGTTCCCCTCATCAGTGATGGAAAACTATCAGCAGAGTTTTCAAGGATGAAGAGTCCTTCTAAAATGTGGGGGCTTTTATGTTGTTAGCAAACCTTTATTTCAAATGATTTATTTATTTCACATTTTGGGGACTCGCAGCCAATTTCCCAGCTAGGGAAAGATAGCCCCTGAGTATCTTTAGGTGATGTGATTCTTATTCTTTCTTGGCAATATTTTTGAATAGAAATACGGTAGTTGGGGATGGGGGAGACTGGTTGCACAGGTAGAAGGTAGGGACTGATTGGATTTACAAACACTATGAAGCATTAAGAGAAAAACAAATTGCAACTGGCTGCAGGAAGGAGTGAGTAAGAAGAAGTACAAAGAACAGATAGACATAACAACTTCTTTGGTTTAATATATGAAGTGCTAGAAGTGGGGGGGAAGTGCTTATGATAGTTCTACTGATATATTCCACAAAAAATATGTAACACTACTGCAAATGGCACTAGCCATGCTACTAATTCCCTTCCTTTTATTTATTTGAGGTGGGAAAGCCTTATACTCATCATTATGTATTCCTTCTATATACTTATCATGAAGTAAGTACTCTTAACTTCTCCTCTGCGCTTTAAATATGTGTGGCTAATAGGCGTATGAGCTTGCAATGTACTTTGCTAGATAACTAAGAATAGCTCACTTTCCTTTGCTTTATTGCTGTTAATTTCCCCAACTAGTAGTGGATGTTCTGCTTAAATGTATATTGTCTGCAATGACTTGAGGCTCATTCTTATGGGATCTACATTTGGGCTATTGAAATTGAAGATGAACGAGAACATTCGGTCTTTATGATAGCCTTTCTGTGCCTAGTGCCCTCCAGTGTGTTGGAAGCCACTTCCATTATCACTAGCCAGCACAGTCTTTGGCAGTAGAGATTGAGGTAATGGGTACTGAAGTCCAATGTTGCATTATAAGAGCAAAGCGTATGGAATGCATCCAAGAGAAGTAATTTTCCAAGGAAACTAAGGAAGCGGCTGTATATCAGAAATATTCTGCTTGTTTCTTCATATTCAAAATAGCCCATTTGAAAGAGCATTGTAAGCAGCCAAGGTAAGTAATTGGGGGGGGGGAGGATTGCACAAAGAAAGCTTTAATTCAGAATGAAGCATACTTGCATTTATGGATTTGGCTTTGGAGAATTTGAATTAGTTTTTATATTGGCTATTCATCAGCTACCCTTGCAAGAAATAAAGGCTTTTCTTTTGTTTTTGTATTTGCAATGCTACAGAAATAATCAACGTAATTATTTTACAGCAGTGTCATAAATCATTATATCCAAATTAGAAAATATTTCCGAGGGGAGCATAGAAATAGTTCAAAAGCCTTTTTTTTTCCTGTGAAACACAGCCACTGGGATCATGCAACCAGAGTTAGAGTTACTGCTGTAAACGTATGTTGGGTTCAGGGATAATGGCCTCTTCTGAAGGACTCATGAATCTGGCCTCTCTCTTCTGCATATTCCTCAGAGCAACATCGATTTTGAAAACACAATACAGATAGTCCTTGACCTATGACCACAATTGGGATCAGAACTTCCGTTGCTAAGCAAGGCAATTTTTAAGTGAGACATGCCCTATTTTAAGATTATTTTTTTTTGTCATGGTCATTAAATCACCACATTAAGTGAAGCAGGCAGTCATTAAGCAAATCTAGCTTCCCTCATTGACTTGGCTTATCATGTTACAACATTTTAATTTCTATATATAACCTGGATGTGACAATCCCATTTCTCAGTGCTGTTGTAACTTTGAATGGTCACTAAATGAACTGTTGTAAATCGAGGACTACCTGTGTATGCATTGAAACTAGCAGGATCTAACAGGGCTTAATTTTGGCCAGATCATGAGGGGCCTAATTATAATGTAATCATCAGCCAGTTATGCTCAGATTAGATGGCACTTGATAAACTGATGTATCACAATCCAACTTGCTCCCAATGGTTGTGAGTACCAGAAACAGAAGAGAAGAGAGCCGGACTTATGAGCTGTTCTTTGAAACATTAGCATTTTTCTCTTTATACTTCTAGATTCAACATGAAGATGCAGAAGTTCTTTACTATCAAAAGTATGAATGTTGGTAATGGCAACACTGTGAACAGTGAACTGGAAGATGGTAATAAATATTATGACATTAGCCGTGATGATCCATCCATTCCATTGCTATGGAAAGGTAAGGCTAAGCAGACATGAGCTGAGCAGAAGATCTTGGTAACAATGCTATTCACTGTTAGTGATTCAAACTCTGATGGCAGACTTCCACAATCTTAAGATAAAATATTATTTATGTTTAATAAATGGGCTGGACAGACACAAGCAATCCAGAGTCACTCATCCTTCTCTGTAATTCTCTATAATTACATATTCTGGGTCATGTATTTATTTAATACAGAGCAGTAATAGCAATAGTACTTAGACTTATGTACCGCTTTATAGTGCTTTAACAGCCCCCTCTAAGCGGTTTACAGAGTCAGCATATTGCCCCCAACAATCTGGATCCTCATTTTACCCATCTCAGAAGGATGGAAGACTGAGTCAACCTTGAGCCTGGTGAGATTTGAACTGCCAAATTGCAGGCAGCCGGCAGAAATAGTCTGCAGTACTGCACTCTAACCACTGCGCCACCGTGGCTCATAATAAGGCCTATCATATCTGTGTGGTACCCTTCTTGAGATGAATCTTAAGGTTAGATTATTCAAAAGGATCCTTTAGCAACGCTCAGGATTTTGCAGGAGATTCTAAGAAGGTGAGAGTTTTCAAATAATTTAAAAAGGAAATATTTCTTCCAGTATTAAGAGTTAATGTTAGAATGAGGATCTTCAGGATCATCATAATTATGCATGCTGGGTGAAAGACAGAATTGGTGCATCACATTATTTCCGAAGGAGAAGACTTCTTAATGAAACTGCCACCTCAAAATATAGCTGGGAAACTTGGATATAGGATATATAGAGTATAGATGGAAGTGCTTGCCTTTTTGCCCTGGACAGAAAACTTTCACATTGAAAAATATCAGTTTTTGTATCCAATAATTAATCAAGTTCTTAACCTTTAGGAAAGTAAAGGTTTTTCTGTTCCCACTTTTCTTTACACTAATATTATATGGAAAAATGAACATTGGTTCTTCATAATAATTCTAAAATATCTGCTTTCTTCTGGAACTGAAAATAAGTTCATGCTCTTACATCTTATAACTGTCATGAGATTTGCAAGCAATAAAAGTACTAAAAAAAATAAATCTGTTTTTACTTTTTAACACTATGCATTTGTCTTGCTTTGTTGCTTTCCCTGCAAGGGGGAATATTCTAGCCACTGAACAACAAATGTTTGTTATCCACAGTGTGTGTTATAATATCTTGAAAAGGCATCGCATACCTGTAACCAAAATGAAGGTCTTTATGTTCATAAAGAATAGGTATACACACATCTGTATCTTGTGCCGTTCAAGAGCTGAGAGATGCCTTATTTTTGTTAACTGAAATATGCCATGGATTAATAAACTGCTATGGCTGTAGCCTTTACTATAGCTTTTTTACTTTGTTAGAACAACCATCAGCTGAGCCAGACTTCTAAATCTTTTAGCTCTGAGGGTTGCTTCCAGCAAGGATGCTTAGGATATCTGTTAATATCTCTCCAGAGTCAGCAAAGCTCTGATCTCATCCTAACCTTCTCCATTGTCTGAGTTCAGAAGCTGATTATTGCCTGCAAAAGAGCACTTGCTCTCTGCCGACTACATTCCATGTTCTGATAGCAGGAATTCTATTACTTGAGGGTACAGATAAATGGAAGGTTTTCAGACTGCTATCTTGAAGCTTGTAAATTTATTGCTTTCAAGAGCTACAAGGAACAAAACATTAGGAAAACAAAAACTTATGGTACAAGGTTTTCATATACACAAAGCTCTTCAGCCAGTGGAAAATCCAATTTCAGACAAGTCTTCTGGGCAGAAAAAGACTTGAATTTTTGCAACTAATGTTTGTGCTTTTAGAATAACAGTGCAGTGCCTCCGTTGTTCTTGTGAAAATTGTTTATATGCTCTGGCCCAGTCAATAGAAACTCACAGTGATGAAATACATAAGTACACTTGTATTGAATCCAGATCAAATGCCTCAAGTATGTGTCCACATTCCAGAGGACTAGCCTCTTAGGGTTTTTTGGGTTTGTTTGTTTTTTTGGAACAAAAACAAAAAGTGGTACCTTAACCTAACAAACAACAAATATTTCATGACTTTTTTTTTTCATGACCCCAAGCTGTTTTTTCAGTTGCAGTTCATTCCAAAAATATCAAAATGACAAGAAGAAAAAGGGAAACTGGAGAGGGCATCTTGGTAGGTGGAAATGAGAAAAGCTCAGTTGCTGAAACTATTTTCTGCACAGTGATGAAATATTGGAGCTCTACAGGAGGCTGAAGTCCATTAAGGGTTTTATCAATAAACCACTTTGCAATATGCAAGCTCTTTGTGGGAAGTTTTCATTTAAGTTTTAGCACACAGTTGAGTATGCCTCTTGGCTTCCATGCCATTAATTATTCTCTACTGGGCCATATCTGTAAGATGTTTATCCACTAATTTTTGTGCACTTACTCCTGCAATAATTCTTACATGCCACATATTCTCTACTAGATATACACTATCTAACTTAATGCCCAGATCTGCTGCACTCCAGATCTGTTAGACTTCAACTAACTTGGGTCCCATAATTCTGGACTCATGCTGACTTGGAATTATGGAATTTAAACGGCATCAAATTAAAGAAAGTGGGTTTAAATGTTTGGAGTGCTTTGTGTTATCTTATAAATGCTTACAACAAGTCATCTATAGAGATTAATATTCTTGCTCTCTCTTGCCTCCTCCCACTTAACAAGTATCAGGGCTGTGGTTAAAGGATAGGAGGATCTCCAACAGTGCTTCAGAAAGTTGCTAGCCAAATTCACACATATAATTCCTGACTCATCTCTTAAGATTCAACCAATTTACTATGGATCAGTAGTGCAAAGATTAAATGAGGTGCAAATGGGCTTTCATCTTACAGATTTACTGACGACCAATGTGATTCTGTTTTGTGATCTGAATATAGAGTATAGAATTATTCTAAGCTTTCTTTTATCTTCAGGTATATATTGGTTAGCACGTTTCCTCCTTGAAAGTTAGTCTTCCTGTTATTGTTCAATCTTTCAGTCACTTCCTACTCTTCATGATCAGGTGGACATCATTAAGCTGGGTCTTAGGGTTCCAAGTAATGCATCCACCAAAAGCAGAACTTTGAGGCAGGTAGATTCCTCAAAGAACATGTTTATTGGACCCAACTGTAAAAGTCCCCGTGGTTTTCACCTAAATAAAAGAGCAAAAGTTCCCCCTCCCAGATGTCACCGGTCACATTGTCCAATGAATATAGCTGGCAGGCTGCTTGATCACTCTTCTCCTTCAGTAGCTACCTGTTGAGATGACCTTGATTCCCACAGGAAAACTTTTTGTTTTGACTGTCTATCTACCTCCCTCCTCCCTTCCTCCTTTCAAAGTTTGTGGCAGGAAAAGATGGCTTCAGCCAGGTCAGCTTCAGAGTTGACACTGGGATTGTCTGTCTGTCACTGCTTCCTTGAATCCTTATACTTGTGTTATCAGTAATAGTATCTACTTATCTTCTGTTGGGTTCAATTTTTTTCTTCATTCAGCTTTTTTGATGTTCCAGGTTTCATAGCAGTATGTTGCAACTGGAAAATCATGGCCTTGTTAATACATAACTTTGTTGTTAGAGTAGAATCTGATTGTTTTAATATGTCTCTATATCTGTAATAGTCTTTCCTTAAAGTAGCAAACAATTCCTTAATTCACGGTTTCTACTAGTATCCCTATGAATTTTTGGGTCTAGAAAAGTAAAATAAAAGTAAAAGTTTTTTTTTATACTAGATTGACATTGTATACTGACTTACTCTAAGGGGCTTTTGTAATACTGAGAAGAAAACCACCTTTTTCAACTCTTTTCCATCTTTAATAAGGTGAAGTCCTATTTAGCTTTCCTTATTTCCAGCCGTCAAAGTGGTATCATCAGCATATTAAAGTTGTTGATGTTTCTCCAGCAATTTTAATATGTTTTCTTATAAATGCCTATAAGAAGTCATCTATAGAGACTTCTGACTATAGAGTCAGATGACTATAGAGATTAATATTCTTGCTGTCTCTTGCCTCCTCCCACTTAACAAATATTTGTCTTCTAATTCAGCATTTTTCAAGATATATTCTGCAGATAAGTTAAATAAATCAGTCCTCTTCCAATTTTGAATCATTTCATTTTCCCATGATTCATTTGAACTGCGGCTTCTTCAGTAGGCTGATTAATTTGTCCAGTATACCCATGTTTTATCTGCAGTGATTTATCCACTGTCATATCATACACAGTCAAAAGCCATTGTATAATTATTAAAGCAAAAATTTATGTCTCTTTGGAATGTTTCCATAATTGTAATACCTGTTTCTTCATATAAATGGGTAGATGTCATTTCCAACCATAGAGAGTCTTTTTAAAGGCAGGTATTATTTTTAACCAACCCAAAAGAGGCTGGCCAAAAATGCTTTTGGTCCCTGCATATACAAACCTTCTCCTGTACATATGTCAATTTGTTTATAAACCATCATTCCAAAGGCACTGCTTAAGTGTGAGTGGGGGAAATGGGAAGGTGAAATCTTTAGTCCTGTTTCGTATTATACTAGCAATTATGTAATGGCTTATATAGTGGATAATCTGCCCACAACAGCTCACAGATTTTTCATCCTCAGGTTGCTAAAGTCCCATTTCTTCATGTTCATTAACCTGCAAGTGTAAATTAGTTAATTGGTTATACACAACCAAACATGAATGTGATCTTCTGGAATCTTCCTTGCTTACTTGTCTAGTCCAAGCCTGAATCTCATTGCAACAGCAAGAACCTGCCATCAGAATTCAGCCATGGTGAATGTGTGGGAAACATTGTTCTAATCATAATTTATAGCCCAAAAGAAAACTTTCCTTGATTACCTTTTCTGTCTTTTTTCTTTTGAAATCACAGACCTGCAGTTGTCATGTGTGAGATTTTTCTGGAGAATCGTCTTTAATTGTGTGGCTTGAATGAATGTTTTCCTCGGATTTTCATGCCTTCAAATTGAATATTATGTACTAATGGTTGGTTGGCTTTAACAAAATAATTCTTTTCTTCTTAACATAAATAAACTGATTGTGTATTGCAAATGTGTATTCTAACGCATATGTCTCCTGTCTGCTCAGCCTTACTGCGCTTGCTGTTTCTAGCTGGTAGCATTTGTTGTTCGTTTTCGTGCATTGATTGTTGTTTCCTTTTACTAATACTTACAACTGCATGTTACATCTCTTGGCCTAGAACAGAAGTCAATATAGTATAAAGTAGTTTTCTGGACAAAAATAAGGAAGTAGTTATTATTGTCTTCTTTCTAGGGAAAGAAAGAAGAAAATGAGGATAATGAATCTGTTTATTTGATTATCAGGAAGAAATGTTACATTTTAAGGAATTTAAGGGAATTGTGTAGCTGCTATGTAGCCAGCATAGAGTAAGCATGTAGCCATAATTAATATATAGAGAGAGAGGGGGGGGGAGAGGGAGGGAGGGAGGGAGGGAGGGAGAGAGAGAATCATTATGATTGCAGTAACATTGTAAATACTACTCTTGAAATATAAAGCAAGACGATTCAAGAGTGAGGAACTCAGTCTAAGAGGAAAACAGTTTATTTCCTCATAAAGCCACTATACTTTCTGAAAATAAATGGACAAATATAGCAAAATGTCCTATTTGACATGCATTTTGACTACAGATGAGAAATAGAATTGTTTGTGGGCAAAAGTATAAAAAATTACAATTATTAATTGGCATTGTGGTCACTAGTGAAAGGAACACAAGAGCCTGGACGCAATTCTGTGGTGATGGTCGATGAGATTATTTGTTCCAGTCCTCCGAAATACCGTTTCCCTGAAGCTGGCTTGCGAATAATGATTACCAATAAATTTGGGCCAAGAACCAGACTACGGATGGCAAGCAGGTTAATTATTAATGAGGTGAGTCCAGAGTGGAGAAAATAATTAAAACGTTGACTAGCTTAGACAATTATTTTTTACAAGTCCTAGTCATTTAATTCCTACTATGTTCTGTTCTTAAAGTAATTAATTCATAGCGTAAGACATCCAGAGCTCTCAAAAAATTACATGTATTTATATTTCAATTTACATATTGAACTATTTCATAAATCATATTTATAATTGAATTATATTACAATTGAAATTATGGTAAAATTAAAGTCAAGTAAATAAAATTGAATTTATATAAATTTCAATAAAGTTTATTGAAAATTTCAATTTATAAATTGAAGCTATATATAAAAAAAGAAATAAATCCTCATGCTGGTTGATGGGAATTTTTTTTCCAAAGGTAAGGACTTACCATTAAAATACACAGGAGTGGTTGACGCTGGAGTCCTAGCGCTGCGAGTCGGGGAGAACTCCTGTCATTCACTTCAGCTTCTGTCCACCTAAGAGTTCGAAAGCATTTTTTATGCGAGTAGATAAAATAGGTACCACTTTGGTGGGTGGATGAGCTGGTTCTCCATGCAGGCAGGCAGATTCCTGCTCTTTGAGCCTTCCTGGCTGCATCACTCCTTTGCAAGGCGGCTCTGGTGAAGGGAGAGACCTTGGATGACGCTGCAGGAAGAGCCGCTCGTCTTTCTTTCTGGTGTGGTGCACCATGGGAAGCACACAATCATTTCCTACAACAGGGCTTGTACCTTGGCAACGAAACTACTACTCTGCAATTGCAATGTAGCCTCCTGGCTAATGTAACAATGCCGTAGCCTAATAATAAATAATAATAATTAGAATACTAGCTTCTTAGAATTTAAAAGCCCAGGTAAATAAATAATCAAACCATATCCAGATGTTTAAAGAGCAGTATGCTCTTAAAGTCATTGGGCTTTTTTCTGTACATTTTAGCGTCAGCGTCTAATTCATTCTTCCAATGGCCAGTTGATTCAGAATGGAAGACATGAGAATATTGAAAATGGGGCCATCCATGCTGACAACCAAGAAGAAACAGAACACATTTCCCAGTCTCCATTTTCACCACCAGGTAAATATTCAAGGCACGTTATGGAATAAACAAAAGAGCAAGAACATTTCTCTAGGAAAATCCTGCCAAAGAATTAGGGCTACAAAAAAGAATGCCACTTTTTCCATTAGGGTTGGGAATTCTGGGAGTTGAAGTCTACAAACCTGAAAGTTGACAAGTTTGAAAAACACTGTTTTAGTGGAAAACTGGAGTTGACCTATGGAATATCTATGGAGATTCTCAGTAAACCAGGTCATGGTTCTCCCAAAGATGTTTTTTCAAAAGGCAATTGGACTTTCTTCGTTTTTCCTTGAAGATGTTTCACTTCTCATCTAAGAAGCTTTTCAGTTCTGACTGAATGGTGGAGAATGGAAAGATTTAATGACTAGATGACTGCAAGGAATATAAAACACAGAAAGTCCAGTTGCCTTTTGAAAAAGCCCCTTTGGGAACGACCTGTGGAATCATTTCTTAGGCCTTCTAGAACAGTGTTTCTAAACCTCAGCAACATTAAAATGTATGGACTTCAACTCCCAGAATTCATGTTTTTTGGCTTGTTTTGAGCCAGTGTAACCTCTCTAGCTATAAAATGGTATGTAATCTCCAAAAACAAATCACTGCAGTGTAGTGGCAGAAAAAAAGAGGCAAACATTCTGCAGCACTTTGAGCTTGAAAGTAATTGCTAGCAACATTCAGAATCAAACTGTAATTCTGGCTGATGATTGATCCGCGGTCTATACATAACTTGGGCAAATTGCTTTGTTGATATCTGACTCTCATTTCATTTCATCCCCCCCCCAATTTGTTTAGAATCCTCAAAGTGGGAGAAATTTCATTCACCCCCCACCCACCCACCCCTGTCTTGCTCTTTTCAGAAAATGTAGTAGACTAAATTATGAATAAAGCTGGTTTATACTGTTAGCATATTTTTATTTGATGTTCAGCATTTTTTAAAATATTACTTTTTAACTTACTTTTGATTTTGTGTGTGTGTGTCACTGACAACATTCAAGAGCAACTGTTAAACTTTAGGCTATAATAGAATATAGGTTTGGGAAAGAGGCTAGATAAGTGGCTGTTTTGATTTAATGGACTTCAGAAAGTTATTTCCCATATATTCAACAATTTTCTTCTGCCAGAATAGACATTTTAATTTGGTGGGAACATAAAGAATGGCGACATTATGTGGAGGCTGCAGCCAGGATTTTGAGAGGCTGCTTGCAACAAGCAGCCCTGAATTCATGTACTCTTGATCCAGGCAATTGGATATGATTAGGAATGCTTGAGAAGCAAAGCTACTCTTTGGAATGTGCATTTGTCAAAATTTGCAAGGCAGTTATTGAAAAGCATACAGACTGCATAAAAAAATCCATACAATTCTGATACAAAGTAACTGCTCTGATAAACTGATATTATATCAAAGACTACATACTGAACATAAAAAGATATATTTCTGGGGAATCTACATTATTACAGTATTGGGACCATGGATTAAGATTTACATTATTTTCTGATCAGAACATGATTCAAAATAAGAAAAGGTAGGCTTGTGCTTTAGTTCTTCCTCTAGTAAAGGGTCTTTTTTAAAAAAAGGTTTGTATGTAAATGTTCCATGTCTGTGAAAAGTAGAACTGAATCATCAGGATGCTACTGACTTTTTAAAACAATCATCCCCATCCCTAAATTGGACAGTGAAGAATCTGTTGACTAATTAGAACAAGTTAACAGGGAGAAAACAGTCATATGGCATCTTTGTAAAAACTATTTCTTTTTCAGTGCTTGATTTGAACATTTTAGAAAGTGCTAGGAACAGTTAGGAATTTGAGGAGAATATGAGAACATTTCCTAGGACACTTCTGTTTGTTAGAAAATGACTCCAGTCTGCTTCCTGGATAATTTTGGTCTAGCTATTGATTTATAAAATAATGTAGTCTCGAGTTAGAAATGACAGCTTGGAAAATTAATCATAGCTAGGTACTAAAGTTTCAGATTATACCTAGAAATAGTGGGTAACCCAGCTACTTTCCTGGACAGAAGCACATTGGTGTTAGGAAAGATGTAAAGAGAACCATTAGCTTTTCTTTTGCCAAAGCCATTGTGATCTTATATTTTCTGAATTTCCTTTTAGATCCAATTTATGTCAATTTAGACAAATCTGAGTGCTGTAATGGCTATTTAGCCTGGAAACAGCGCTCTGCTCATTTCATGGTCTCTTGTTGATCATTGCTGGGAATGCAGTGGTAAATTAGAATTACTACTATCTTAGCTGTATACTGAAGAATGCCCCAGTGTTGCTTTCCTGAATGAGAACCATTTATTATTCATTTTCTCTTATTTTAACTCTGTTGTTATGGTTGTTTTTAGTGATGAAAAACATTTTGCTTTGTTTTTTTTTAAAAAAATCTGGTTAACATAAATGAACAAGCTGGGAAGAACTGAATAGTAGACTGTAGAAAGTAGTGGCCACAATTTATCTTGAAGAGGGCTTTTCTGTCCTGGGGTACATCTTATCTTTCTTGCCCAATTTGCCTTGTTGAAATGCTTCATGCCAATGTTCTGGGACTCTTCCATTAGTTAGAAAAAGTCTTCGCATTTGTGGGTACATGTAGCAGCCTCTGTTGACAAGTGACTGTGCCAGAGGAAGCAAATAGAGCAATGTGAAGAATACAACAACTTTGCTTTGTAGAGTACTCTCAGAGCAATGCTACTCCCAAAGCAATGACAGATTGAAGCATTTCTTGAAAAAGGACCTCAGTCTATGCACAAAGTTAACCAGTAGGAAGATATATTTGTTCATTAACTGGATGGTTTCACTTTGCCTTTGAAGAGCTTGCAAAAACTTCATGATGCAGATTGTATCAAAATCCCATCAATCCCACAATGGAAGTTTTGCCTTGGTTGTTGTTTATTTCCTAGTCTCAGTTTAGAATACTTAACTGGTTTTATTCTTTAACATCCTAAATGCCCTTTAATGTCCTAAAGAAGGTCTTGCTTATTAAAAGGATTGTCTCTTCTGGTCAGATATTATGACTTTGATTGGCAAGCATCTTGGAAAAAGTTTCTCCCTTCCTAGGCCCATTGGTTGGGAAGAGGGATCCTTTTTCTATACCACTCCAAACTGTAACACTCTTTTCCTTTGAAACTGCAACTGCATCACTATTACAATTATATTTTTTCTCTTTGCTTTTCCCAAAAGTTTATTCTCATGTTCTTCCAAATATCTTCAGTATGACTATTATATGGCTTAAATAAACAGTTTTTTTTTTAAAGGATCTGTGGGTGTTTTTGTTTGGTGCCTTCAGGTCAGTCTTGATTCCTAGTGACTGTCTGGACAAGTCTCTGCAGTTTTCTTAAGAAGATTAGCCTGCTTGTTAGGGCAGAGAGTACTTAGCTATGTTAAGTAATTTTTCTGTAGTAACGGTAGCAGCAGCAGTAGTTATAATAATACTGGTAGTAGTAATAAAAATATGATAAAAATGCCAAATTCAATCTAAACATCTGATTGACTGTGTGACCGACCATTTATTTTAATCATATTATGTGACTAACCATAATAATTTAAGGATTGTGATTTAAGAAAAAAAAAGGGATGAAATCTACACTTTTCTGGATATCAAGTCAAGTAGATTTCATGAAGGGAACACACGATTCACAATAAATATGGAGAATGGAGGGAAGACTGAGATTGTGTATTTGGCTACTATATATCTTCTTATACAGGTAGTCCTCAATTTACAATAGTTCATTTACTGACCGTTCAAAGTTACGACAGCAGTGAAAAAAGTGACTTATGACCGTTTTTCCCACTTACAACCATTGCAGCATCCTCATAGTCATGTGAACAAAATTCAGTCACTTGGCAAAGGACTCATATTTATGACATTATGGGGTCATATGATCACCTTTTACGATCTTCTGACAAGCAAAGGTCAATGGGGAAGCCAGATTCACTTAACCGCTGTATTGCTAATTTAACAACTGTAGTGATTCACTTAACAACTGCGTCAAGAAAGGACGTAAAATGGGGCAAAACTCACTTAACAAATGTTAGCAACAGAAATATTGGAATCAATTGTGGTCGTAAACTGAGGATTACGGATTGTTGGGGGCAATATGCTGACTCTGTAAACTGCTTAGAGAGGGCTGTAAAAGCACTATGAATCAGTGTATAAATCTAAGCGCTATTGCTATTACCTGTAATCCCAAGCATGTCAACATCTTGCCTGCTTTTCAAGATGTCCTTGCTACAAGTACCACTGCTCTTCACAGAAACATGAGCAGTCAATGTAGCACAATTCAGACATGCTGTCCCTCTCCCCAGGTCAACTCCATTAAACTGGGAATAGGATTTGGGTTCCCTTTCTTCCTCTACTTTCCTCTCTACTAAAATGCACAACTATAATATTGGCTTTATTTCCTTCTAATCTGCTCTAGTACATAACAGTACAGCAGTGTACATCAACAAACTTTTTTTTTCTTTTTGCTCTCCAGAAGGAAAAATGGAAAAAGTTAAATGGATCCTGACCTGGCCACTGATACTTCTCCTCTTTTTCACCATCCCAAACTGCAGCAAGCCACGCTGGGAAAAATTTTTCATGGTGACATTTCTCTTTTCCACAGTATGGATTGCTGTGTTTTCCTACTTTATGGTGTGGATGGTGAGTGATTGCAAAGATATAGGTTGATTAAGGTAACATTTTTTTATGAAGTTAGGTAGAAAACAAAGGCAATAGTAATGAAGAACATGACTATTTGAGTCTAACTGAAAGAAAGCAAAGCAAATGTTTGATGTGTGCAATATCAGCATTCAACTACTGTATGTATGTTTTTTATTAAAGGAATCATTATGACACTTAAAACTTAACCTCCTCCTTTTTTAAAAACTTTTTTTTCATCTTTTGTTCCTTCATTTTTCTAACATATCAAGCAAATATTTATGCTACTGCAAAACACCATATCTTGCCTCCAATTCAACTAGCCTTTTGGAGCCTCTTAAGACAATCTGTTAATCACAAAGGCAGACATTGACCTGATTGGCATCTTTTTCAATAACTAGGAAAAATAAAACTTGTGTCACAGTCCCATATTTGGGTTTCAGCCAAGGCCAGATGAAGATCCTTCTTTTCTCACAGTTGAAAGTGGTGTGATTATTCATTGGATTACTATTTGACTTTTAATCCAGTCTTAAATCTCAATCTGGTAACCTTTGATATGCTAGATCTACAAATTCTACAAAAGCCCAGAGAGTTATTGCTCATGCTGTTAGGAATTCTTAGAATTAGAGACCAAACATGGACTCATGCAGCATCCTATCAGGAAAACTGTGTACTATTAATCTCAGTTAGTAACAATTCATTGACCCTAGTTTAATCCAAGCAACACAGGACAGCATATATGAATATCTCTTTAATCCTCAAAAAAGTAAATCCCGTGAGGTAATTTTGCATGTAATATTGGGATTAATCTTAACCCCATGAACTTCATGACAAAGTGTGGACTTGAACTCAAATTTTACGAGTCTTACCCATGTACATTAATTTCTGTGCTTTCTTTAAATTTCTGCTTCATGGAGGAGAAAAAAATATTCCTTGAAGATAAATAGTTTGAAATTTTGAAGTTCCAGCAGAACCAGTTTAGACATAACTAGGTAAAGATTATGATCATGCATAGTTTCTGCATTCCTAATATGCACATTCTTTTTTCCCCTCAGTTTTTATTGATTTGATTTTGATGCTGCTTGATTCCAGCCGACTCTGGGCAGCTCCCAAAATAACGAACATAAAAATACCCCATAAATATAAATGTAATAAAATTAATGTAAAAAAAAGAATTACATGACAATTAAAAGATGGTAATCCAGACAACACTTCAATACATATACAAAACAGATTATCCCTAGAAATTCCAAAATATTTTTACTGTGTCCTAGGATTGGCCTAGAATTGCTGTCACAACTAGCAGGCATGACCTTTGCAAATATGGGTTGAAATTCAACATGTATAGAAGATGTTAGATTTAGGAATATGTTCTACATAGTCAGTTTATGGCTGCTAATTTGTTGTAGCATTAGAAATTCTCGTGTTTGTTAGCTTGGTTCATTTTAACACCCACTTGCTCAAGCAGTTAAAGAAGGTCTAAGAGTCAGAATGCTCTTATTGTTTTCAACAACTTGTTTTTCTTTGTTGCACAGGTAACAGTGATTGGTTACACTCTAGGGATTCCTGATGTTATCATGGGCATTACTTTCCTAGCTGCAGGGACTAGTGTACCAGACTGCATGGCCAGTTTAATAGTAGCAAGACAAGGTAAGGCCTGCACTGATTTCAGATAAATGCTGTGCTTGTTTTCTACATTAGTAAGCAGAGCTCTTACATTATTGATGTAGAGATGGGGCTGAGATTGTTAAGATCACATTCATTTAATTCAGGTTTTTCAATACAGTCTAATGTAATTTGAATTGCCTAAATTAATGTCTGAATCAGAATGTGGACATCCTTCAGTTTTTGCAATTTTCTTATTTTAAATTACAGTCCTCTGATTAAAATGTGTACAAAATTGATTAGCAAAACCTGCATACAAATATGTCTGCGTTAAGAGACGTCTGAAAGAAAATACTGTGTAGGAGAAATTGCTTACAAACCACTGTATAGTTTTGTGATTTGGAAATACATAAAATTGTCTGAATGAAAGTGCGAGCCTAAAAATTCATGACATTTTTCACACATTTTTTAAAAATTACAAATGACGGCAAAACTGAAGACAAGGCTGTGGTTGGAAAAAATGTAATATTATGGGAAATGAACAGATGAATTCAGTGTAAGAAGTGATGTGTATCTAAATAGGAATGAAAGTTGAATAAAGTCACTGATCCAGAGGCATGTCTACAGAGATTCTCAGTCATCCAGGTCATGGTTGTCCCAAAGGGCCTTTTTTCCAAATTTTCTTTGTTTTTCCTTGAAGATGTTTCACTTCTCATCCAAGAAGTTTCTTCAGTTCTGAAGTAATGAAGTTCAGAACTGAAGAAGCTTCTTGGATGAGAAGTGAAACGTCTTCAAGGAAAAACAAAGAAAGTCAATTTGTTTTTTGAAAAGACTTTTGAGGGTGATCCAGATGCAGTGATCCACAATTCCCATTATCCCATTCAAATCAATTGAAAAGCACAGCTAATATATTTACAATTCTTTGGACTGACTAAAAAGTATCTCAAATACCCTGTTTCTCTGAAAATAAGACATCCCCTGATAATAAACCCAATTGGACTTTTGAGCGCATGGCAATAAGGCCAAGCGCTTATTTCAGGGTTCAAAAAAATATAAGACAGGGTCTTATTTTCGGGGAAACACGGTACTTGGGAGAGAAATATATTGATACAGACGTTAGTACACCTTTTATAAGAGGGTACTAGCCTTTTCTATATTTTATTCTGTATCTATTATTTGTAATGCAAATTCATAAGCAAAGTTTGGATCAAAAACACTAATTTAAAACACTATCCTCCTTTCTCTTATATAAACTTCTTTTAATATATTGCCTATTTTAAACATACACATGTGTAATATATAATCAAAGGGTGTTTTATTTCACTAGCATTAATCTTGTGTAGATTTAATTGATTAAATCTCAGGTGCTTAAACAAAAATATTTAAGTAAAAATAAGCTTGGGAGCTGCCCTCCATTAATCAGGAATCTCTGTTTTTTGCTTTCATGTAAATGTAATCCCTTTATGGGTTTGATTAATTTATCAATGCAGTAATTTCAAACTCACCATCAACTTGTTATTCCAGTCTCGAGTTAAAATAGACTAGATTTTATCCATTTTTTCTTTATGAGTCGGTATTGCAACGCCAGGTCCATGGTTAATAAAGCCCCCCTCATTTGTGAGCTGATTCAGGAGGGGGGAGCGGACCTGGCGGGTATTACAGAGACCTGGCTGGGCCTGGAGGGGAGGGTCCCCCTCGTAGAAATGTGCCCACCGGGTTTCTGCGCATTTCATCAGCCGAGGGCCCAGGGTAGGGGTGGGGGGGTGGCGGTTATTGTAAAGGAAGGTCTTGATCCTAGGGAGGCCACTGTACCTCGGATAGCCGGCTATGAGTCTCTCCTTGTGAAGTGGGGCCATGGGAGGCAGATGGGCCTGCTGGTTGCATACCTGGCTCCTTGCTGCGTGGCAGCGACCCTGCCCGAGCTCCTCAATGTTATAGCCGTGGTAGCGGTTGATACCCCCAGGCTTTTAGTCATGGGGGATTTCAACCTGCCGTCCATCGGTGAAGCATCTGAGGTGGCTCGGGAGTTCATGGCTTCCATGACGGCCATGGACCTGACCCAGTTAATTCAGGGCCCCACTCACACAGGAGGAAACACGCTGGACTTGGTTTTCGTCTCTGGTCAGTGGTTGAATGGCTTAGATACAGGGGATATAGTTATTGAACCCTTGTCATGGTCAGACCATTCTCTTCTTAGACTTGACTTCCTGATTGCTACACCCCACCACAGGGAGGCGGAACCGATCAGGTAGTTCCGCCCCAGGCGCCTGATGGATCCTGATAGGTTCCGAATGGAGCTTGGGCCATTTCCTGAGACTCTGGCTCACGACTCGACGGAAGACCTGGTGGCCGCCTGGGATAGGGCGGCCGCTGGTGCTTTAGATCGGGTCGTGCCTTTGCGGCCTCTGACCCAGCGCCGAGTCTGCCCAGCTCCTTGGTTCTCCGAGGAGCTGAGGGGGATGAAACGCCGGAAAAGACGCCTAGAGAGTAGTTGGAGGGCCAGTCGCTCCGAATCTGATCGTACACTAGTGAGGTCTTATATCAAGACCTACTTAGTGGCGATAAAGGCGGCGAAGTGTAATTACTTTTCTGCTCTTATCGTGTTGGCAGAAAATCGCCCAGCTGCCTTGTTTAGGGTGACCCGCTCCCTTCTCCATCTGGGAGTGCGGGAAGACCCCTTGCAAGGTCGTGCTGAGGATTTTGCGCATTATCTGCACGATAAAGTCACTCAAATTTGGGAAGGCTTGGACTCTGACTGGGTAGGTACAGGCGGGTTGTCCGAGGTGTGTCTTGAGACTGTTATCTGGGATGAGTTTGACCCTGTGACTCCCGAGGACGTGAACAGGATGCTGGGGAGGTTGAACGCAACCACATGTTTTTTGGACCCATGTCGCTCCTGGTTGGTGCTGGCTACCCGGGAGGTTACACGAGGCTGGCTCCAGAGGATTATAAACGCTTCCTTGAGTGAGGGGTTCTTGCCTCCCGCCTTGAAAGAGGCGGTGGTGAGGCCCCTCCTCAAGAAGCCCTCTCTGGACCCAGCTGTTTTGGCAAACTATCGTCCAGTTTCCAACCTTCGCTTCTTGGCGAAGGTTGTTGAGAGTGTGGTTGCGCGACAGCTCCCGCAGTACCTGGATGAAACCGTCTATTTAGATCCGTTCCAGTCCGGCTTCAGGCCCGGGTACAGCACGGAAACGGCATTGGTCACGTTGGTTGATGATCTCTGGAGGGCTCGGGACAGAGGTTGCTCCTCTGTTCTGGTCCTATTAAACCTCTCAGCGGCTTTTGATACCATCGACCATGGTATCATGCTGCACCGGTTGGAAGGGTTGGGAGTGGGAGGCACTGTCTTATGGTGGTTCTCCTCCTATCTCCGACCGGTCACAGTCTGTGTTGGCTGGAGGGCAGAGGTCGATCTCAAGGCACTTGGTTTGTGGGGTGCCACAAGGGTCGGTCCTCTCGCCTCTCCTGTTCAACATTTATGTGAAGCCGCTGGGCGAGATCATCTGTGGTTTTGGGGTGCAGTGCCATCTGTACGCTGATGACACCCAGCTGTACATCTCCACCCCAGACCACCCCAACGATGCCCTTGAAGTGATGTCCTGGTGCCTGGAGGCCGTGCGGGTCTGGATGGGGAGGAACAGGCTCCGACTCAATCCCTCCAAGACTGAGTGGCTGTGGCTGCCGGCGTCCTGATATAGTCAGCTGGTGCCATCGCTGACTATTGGGGGTGAGACATTGGCCCCCACGGAGAGGGCGCATAACTTGGGTGTCCTCCTGGACAGCTGTCTTTAGAAGAGCATATGACGGCCGTGGCCAGGGGGGCTTTCTATCAGGTTCGCCTGATACGCCAGTTGCGCCCCTTTCTGGATCGGGATTCCTTATGCATGGTCACTCATGCCCTCGTTACTTCCCGCCTCGACTACTGCAACGCTCTCTACATGGGGCTCCCCTTGAGGAGCACTCGGAGGCTCCAACTGGTGCAGAATGCGGCCGTGCGGGTACTTATGGGGGCGACATGGTGCTCTCACGTGACACCTCTCCTGCGCGAGCTGCATTGGCTTCCAGTGGTCTTCCGAGTGCACTTCAAGGTGTTGGTTCTCATCTTCAAAGCGCTCCATGGCTTAGGACCCGGTTACTTACGAGACCACCTTCTGCCTCCGATAACCTCCCACCGGCCAACACGCTCCCACAGAGAGGGCCTCCTCAGGGTGCCGTCTGTCAGGCAATGTCGGCTGGCGACCCCCCGGGGAAGAGCCTTCTCTGTGGGGGCACCCACCCTCTGGAATGAGCTACCCCCAGGGATATGACTAATCCCGGACCTCCGGACCTTCCGCCGGGCCCTGAAGACTTTTTTATTTCAGCAAGCCGGGCTGGGTTAAAAATCTTTTAACTGGGGAATTTTATGGGCAAGGGATTTTAAATTGGAGAAGCCAAAGATAATTTAATTTCGTTTTAATGTATTTTAATATTTGTATTGTGTGTTTTTAATTTTGGCTGTTCACCGCCCTGAGTCCTTCGGGAGAGGGGGCGGTATAAAAATTTAATAAATAAATAAATAAATAAAATAAAATAAATTGGTGCTTTATCAATAAACAGTCAAATTTGATATTTGTAAAAAATAATAATTCCACATAGAAATTTTTAAAATTCATGGGATCATTACATTGGAAGGGGTGTGTTGTTTTATCTGGGAATCCACACAGAATTCCATAATGTTGGAAGAGGCCCCTTGTTCTCTGTGGGAATCTAAACTAAAGTATCTCAACAGAACTAATTTTATTGAGTTACATTTTAAGATTCCAACTGTAGTATGTTACCTTCTGAAGTCAACGTTTTGAGTGTCTCAGGATTGTAATTTACTTTGGTTTTAAGCACATTTACAGTATATATCTAACTTGTCTTTTCTCTCCCTCAGTTAAAAATAATTGGCCCTGTGAAGAATTACTGTAGGAACCCTGGCCAGTTTACATTCATTATCCCGAGACCTTTTGGTACAGGAGAAAAGCTTATCCTCCCTGCTTCTTGCTTGTTGTAAAATAAATCATTGTGCAAATCAAAATGGCTTGAATTGTGAACCGTTTATTTTTCAGGATTAGGTGACATGGCAGTGTCCAATACAATTGGAAGCAACGTGTTTGACATTCTTGTGGGGCTTGGCGTTCCATGGGGTTTACAGACTATGGCAGTTCATTATGGCTCATACGTATGTATCCAGATGTAAATAAATCTGTTCAAAGTTTTTGTCACAGAAAATATGATTAAAGAAAACAATTATTTTGGTATGGTTTAGTTGAAATTGACTTTCTCCGTCTTGATAATCTGTAAATGCATTGTGAGCTGGGACAAGAGCTCTCAGTGTATTCAACGAGATTTTCACCATGATGGCCAATTATGCTGGAAGTTGAAGTAAGACCATATGGGAATTGTGCCAAGGTTCAGAAAAGCTATCCTAAGTATCTTTACACAAATCTATATGGAAAAATTCCATAAAACTATTTCTACAAAATACATACCTCTTTCTTGGCCAGGGTTACAACTGCATTTGAAATAAGATGGCAAAACATCTTAGAAGCATGTGTAGTTCACAGAGGTCTCTGCAATGTGTTTTATATTTCTCAAGAGCCTCCAGTAGGAACCAATACTATCTCGTGGAATCTGTTAATTGTTTCTTGTGTCTCTTAAGGCCTCTCCAACTGACGTTAGAAGCTCAGTATAATTCTTTACCTTTGACTAACATTGTATTCTCTAATGTTGTCATTATCATAACTAATGAGCCCCCTTCAAAAATGTTCAACTGTTTCCTGTCAGGCCTAGAAGCCATCTTTTGCATTGGGTCTTCAGGCCTGCCACATTTACTGATGGGGAGAGTGTATGGAACATGAGTGATATATAGTCAAAATAACATTCCTTTCTCAAAGAGTCAAGGACATTTTGCCCTGCACCTGGAAGGCTGGAACTGGGAGGCATTTCCAGTTGGGATGGTGTTTTGATTGGACCATGTGGTAGACACGTGGGTACTGGGCAGGGACTTGGACTTTCCTTTGGGTGCGGAAAACCTGGAAGCTTTCAGATTTGGGTTTTCCCAGATGCGCCAATATGACATATCTAATAAAATGGAACTTTGAGGAACTTTAAGCCTCAGAGTCTTCTTTCATTGGGGGTGTTACTTGGAACCCTGACATTTCCTTTGCACTTTGGATTCCTGAATGGAATCTATTTTGCAAGATTAAATCTCTGTTTCCTTCTGTTCAACAGACATTGCTTGTTGAACTTAATTGGAGATGAAATCATGACTATTGTTTTTATATCCTCTATTTTATATTTTCTAGTGACTGTATTCTTGAGATGTAGCAAATATTTTAAATCTATCTTTTCTGATTTTCATAGGTTAAGATAAACAGCAAAGGACTAGTTTATTCTGTTGTGCTTCTCCTGGGATCTGTAGCTCTTACCGTAAGTGGACTGATGAATTAATTTATTTCAGCATCCAGTCATATTAATACAACGTATCTAGAGATGAGATATAGTTAACTTATATTTGCCATGCAAAATGTAACTATTATTATTTAGTCAACATATCCATTTAACAGACTTTACCAATGAGTTGTACTATTAAGAAACTTACATTTATAAAAATAATTTACAACTTTGATTGGAAAAATGAATCGCTTTAAAACTTGCAAAAATATGTGCATTAAAAAGCTTGTATAGAATAAAATCCTGGTTTAACAGTACATTCAGGTGATACCGTGTTTTCCCGAAAATAAGATCTATCCTGAAAATAAACCTTGGCTTGATTTTTACACGTATGTCCAATATAAGCCCTATTCCCAAAAGAAGCCCTAGTTAAGACCCCACCCACTCTGTTGCACCTGGTTGCATGGTGTGGGGCAAGGTGCATGGGTAAAAATCAAGTTATGGTGGGGGTGGAGCTGTTTACCTTCAGACAGTTGCAGCCAGGCCTCGCACACCCTGACACCTGCCTCGCCTTGCCGGCCTACTTCTTCTTTGGCTGCTTTCCACCACTTACGCACATCTCCCCCAGCCTCCATTTCACTATAAGAGGCCTTCAAGAAAGGGCTCTGCAGTCAATAAAAGAGCTCCGGATTGACATGCGCAGTGCCCCCAGCCTCCGTTTCGCTGTGAGAAGCCTTCAGGAAAGGCCTCTGCAGATGAGAAACGAGTTCCAGATGGATGTGCGTTATGCCCCCCGACAGGGGTGAAATGTAAAATTTGTTACTACTGGTTCTGTGGGCGTGGCTTGGGGGGGGTAATGTGACTGGGTGGGCATGGCCAATTTTTAAAAAAAAAACTTTTCAAAGCATTTTTTCTAATGCTTTGAAAAGCCTCTGCCGATCAGGCAACTCTGCTGGGATCGTCAGAGAGGCTTTTTAAAAAATGCTTTGAAAAGCCTCTCTGCCGATCAGGCAACTCAGCTGGGATCGTCAGAGACTTTTCAAAGCATTTTTTTTACCACCTCTTCCGCCAAGAGGTTGCAGAAAAAAATGCTTTGAAAAGCCTCTGACGATCCCAGCTGAGCCGCGCAATCATCAGAGGCTTTTTTTTTTAACTTTTAAAAGCATTTTTTTTGTCTGAAGAGGTTGTAGAAAAAATGCTTTTAAAAGTAAAAAAAAAAGCCTCTGATGATCGTGCAGCTCAGCTGGGCATAGTGGGAAGGGCGCAGGGATTTTTGCTACCGGTTCTCTGAACCACCCGCCGCCATCGCTACCAGATTGGGTGATCCGGTCTGAACAGGGAGCATTTCACCCCTGCCCCCCGACCTCCATTTTGCTGTCAGAGCTCGTTTCTTGCTGCAATTTCCTGAACGCCTCTTCGGGCCTCTGATGGTGAAATGAGGCTAAAGGGCACCATGCACATCAATCTGGAGCTTGTTTTTCAGCTGCAGAGGCCTTTCCTGAAGAATTCTGACAGAGAAATGAGGCTGGGGTGCGCTGTGTGCGTCAATTCGGAGCCCGTTTCTTACCTGCAGAGGTCTTTCCTGAAGGCCTCTGATGGCAAAATGGAGACCGGGGGATGCCACGTGCAAGCGGTGGCAAGCAGCCGCAGAAGAAGTGGGCCAGCAGCAGCCACATGAGCTCCTGCTGGGCAGGGCTGTCAATGCCACCACCACGAGGTGAGACAGTGGAAGACATCCCCGAAAACAAGACCTGGTGCCTCTTTTGGAGGCAAAAAACAACAACATAAGACTGGGTCTTATTTTCAGGGAAACACCAGTATGTTGTCTGTTGAACCTGAACTTATCAATTTATGTCATTTGAGAAAATACTTAAGTGACATAAATGGCGCCAGAATTCCTGCATTTCATGGATTTACCAGACAACGTTTAGCAGTCACAGCCTGAGGATCCAATCTGGGTCAGTCACCAGGACCAGAGGTTTAATCTTCTAAGCTTTTGGATTTGTGCTGGAGCTCATCCTCGGGGAATTTCTCTCTCACTAGAATGTGTCACATCCTCAGTTTAACAGACAGTAAATGGGGCTATTGTATCCTCTAAACTGAGGTCCAATATGTATACAGAGAAGAACCCATAAAAACATATAAAGTGGGGGAAAGAATGGAATAAAATATTAAAGTTTGATGAATTAAAAAAATAGAGTCAGATGATAGAGTGAATCTATCAGGCATAATAGTTAGAACTCTTATACTGTTTGTTCAGGTAGCTTAGCAATTTTTTATACTAACTCTTAATTGAAATCCACAAAGCATCCCAAGAGACTTATTTCTTGATATTTGTACAACACTTAAAAGTAACATGTTGGATTGTCACCTAATTAAAAAACAACAACCAATTAAGCATATGATCATAAAACACTCATTTCCCTTTATAGATATGCTAATAACTCTTCCACAAACATTTTGTATTCTAGGATTTAGAGTTTCTCCAGTTGTAAAGATCATGGAAATTAGTTTCCTTGTATGATTTCTGAAATTCTCATTTGAAGTGCTTTTTTTTTTTTTTTTAGCCTACAGCATATATTGCCTTCAATCTTAAATAATTCATTCCCCATATTCTTACAGGTTGGCGGGATCCACTTAAATAAATGGAAACTTGACAGGAAATTGGGCATCTATGTGCTCACCCTCTATGCCATTTTCTTGTGTTTCTCGATACTGATAGAGTTTAATGTCTTCACTTTTGTCAACTTCCCAATGTGCCGAGAAGATGACTGAGAAGTAAAGCCAAGAGATGTCATCTGTTTTGCTTTAAGTGTCAGGAGACATTTTACTTCAACTCCAAAACTCAATGTCTCTCCTGCTTCATCAACGTAGAAGCAATTTACCTGGGAGGAAAAGACATATTTCTTTGACAACACACAAGCTCAAGACTACTAAAGCTTTGTCATCTGTTCTTCCTCCTCCTCTTTCTTCATCAGGTACCCTCATTCAGCTGTGCTTCCTGCAGCTCAGTATGAGGTTTTAAAGGATGGTGCCCTGTTTCAGATTCCATTCTGGTTTGAGCATCATCAATATCAAACTGACATCACGTCTGCCATGGAAACACATTTTCCATTTGATGGCATGTGGGTCTTCAAAGAAGAGGAAAAAAGAGTAGATTCAAGATTCTACCTTGGCTCATTTCGAGGATCTCAGCTCTGGGCTATCATGTGCTTACATGCTTATATGCATGAAAAACCTTGGTTTTCCTTCTTTAAATGCTCTATTTATACAGAAGTTTCAACAATGCTGAGGAGATCATCCTCAATAGTAATTTATCATCTTTTAAAAATGTTTTTGAAAGATACAACAATTTTACTAAGAAAAAGATGGAAAATGATAATACAATACTATGATAATGTAATTCTAAAAATCTTGGAACTTAAACTATGGCAACCTGGATAAATATCTGTGCTTGAAAAAGATCAAATTGTTCTACAGTCAATGAAGAACAATGGATAATATCTAGAATAAATGCATATGAATATTAAGTTGACAAGTTAGAAAATTGCACCAGCACCAGTGTGCATATTCTAATCTTAGAGGAAAATGGAAAACCTTGGGTGCTCAATAATTGATTGTGATGTTAATGATCTGGGGGGAAAGTGTATAATTGAGATGCCTTCCAACTCTTAAATGAACTATGAAATTGAAAGTATCTATATCTATCTATCTATCTATCTATCTATCTATCTATCTATCTATCTATCTGCTTGCGTGCATATGTGCACACACACCAAACAATAATTGTACAATCCCCAGTTTTATCTTGTTTTAAAATCAGAAAGGTGGATTGCATGAAAACTGGCCAGCAGAATATGGGAAAAAAGTCTGCTAGCGTTTGGAAACCCAGTACCTGCATGTACATTGAGATAATTATAGAACATGGTTCAATGTGCACAGATGTTCTTCGGAGGTGTGTGAGTGAGATGTTATTCAATGCAAATGCTTAAATTATTTCAGAAGATTGATTTCAGAATGATTCAGACACCTAAATCAATTCAAATAGAGCCTCCAATAGGAATGGACTCTATTAGGACCAATTCAGGCCTTAAGGTGCATGTGCACATGTAAGGAAAATTTCCAATTAATGTGAATTGATTTAGATGTATTTTATTTATGTTCCTTCAATTCACTGAGTTAATCTAATGCTTTGAATCAGTGTGGTTGATTCAAAGCACTGAGTATTTGCACAGATCATTTCCTTCATAACTTACTTGAATCCCCTTTGATCAAAAGCTCAGTCTCTCATCAAGCCTTGACAATCTTGAGTCAGCTGATCCTGGGAACTCTTACGTATTTCACTATTTGTCCAGTAAAATGTTTGAGACAAAACTAATTAGATTTGAAAGTTTTCACTTTAAGCAATCTATAACTGCATGGAAAAAAACAAAAAAAAATCAGAATAACTACAAGAATGCAATAACAGTCATTGCCATTACATTATCTCTGAGCTAGCTTCTTAGTTCGCTAGAGTCATAATCTGTTTTTCCCCATATCGCTAGTGACTCTCACAAATAAAATATATTTGGATATTTATGAGTATAATGGAAAGGAAATCACAGTCTATAAAATATAAATTTCAGAAGATTTGGGATATTAACGCAGCAGGGAGACAGGATAAATCTCATTTCTCTTTTTATGCTTCTCTTGTATAAAACCTGACACAGGACATGAGCTTTCCCAAGATTTACCTACTGCCTCAATTTGTGAGCTTCATGAGAAATACCGAAAGATGAAATGGAAATTACAGACATGTCTTATTGTCAATTCTAAGTCAATGAAGATTCCATTTCATTCATCACTAACATTACCACTTTTCAAATGTTATTAAAATGCTGAAGAATGCAGAGATTTCTAGAAGCACAGGTTACCTTTGTACATAATTTATTTTTTTAATCTTCTTTGCTATGTAAAATATATTGAATGGCTGAAGAATATGAATTTCAAACCATATTAAATCTATTTTTGCATGCATAAGCATTAGGCAAAGTTCCAAAGAGCAGAGTATTGCACTTCTGTCAGAAAGAAATACATTTTTTCACAAGGAATTTAAAAATGGGTATAATCACTTACGATTTATTGAGGATGGGACAGATACTCCAACAGATTAACAATATCTCTATTCACAAATCATGATGTTCCCAGTATAAGAGTCCCTAAGCACCCAACTCAAGCTGGTACAGTTTAATATTTCTCCCAGAGGTCAAATTTTATTTTATCCCATGCTGCCTAATTCACACACTAAACCATTTGAATATTTAAATCACAATTAAGTATTTGAATATTTAAATCACAAACATTTGGATTCATGCAACATGTTAGACTATAAACTAAGGTCGTAAACTAAGGTTTACAATTCCCGGTGGTTGAATTTACACTAAGCCAAAACCATACAAATTCACATAACAATATAAGGTAATGAAGCCAATCTCAATGTGATCTCAATATCATGAGTTCACAGTAACCACAGGAATACTTCTCAAAAAGGGAGAATATGAGAGAGAAAAAAAGCCTTGCCCTTAAATATCTTCCTCCCTGACAAAATGCAGATAAATATAGTAGTAGGCGTCTAAGAGAAAGTTACATATAGATATAACCCGTAGTCTGTTGTCTGCTGCACTCAGCATAAATGAGTCATGAAATTCAATTGATTTAACCTCAAACAGAAGAATTCTCAAGGGAATCCAATCTCAGGGTTATTTCACATGACATATGGCGTGCTTGCAGCAGTAGCAAAAAACCCAGTCTTCCATAAGGTGAAATGTATGAAGATCATGTTTCCATATGCATAGCTTCAGCCTATGATAATATTTCTATATATCTGGCTATCACGGTCACGTGCTTAGGGTAAACCTAACAATACACAGTGTGAAATTGCTCAAAATTTAGTTGCAAAATGGTCAGATGCTTTATAATCAAATTTGTGCATGTATGTCTGAAGCAGATCAGAGGCATTTACATATCTGTACAAGTATTGGGAGAGAGGTTCAAAGGCATTTCTTACCCTTTGAGTTATTTCCTCCCATTCTTCTATAGATGTTATGCATTCAAATTAGTTTAGGTTTAGTTTAGTTTAGTTTAGTTTGGATTTATATACCGCCCTACTCCCGAAGGACTCAGGGCGGTGAACAGCCAAAGATAAAACACATATAGTATAAAATTTAAAAAACAATTTAAAACACATTAAATAAATTTGCCCTATACTGATTAAAACACCCCTGTTTTTTAAAAAAAAACAAATTAAAATTAAACAATTAAAAGGAATTACCCAGAGTCATAGTTCATTTACAAAATAAAATTCTTCACACAACATTTATGATATTTAAAAAATGTTGTGTAAATAAGATTATTTTGCAAAAAAATTGCTGTCAATTGATATAAAGCATTCACCACTTGTTCTGAATAGGATGCAAATGCAAAGGGAGAAATTCTGAATCTTCTTTTACTCTCTATAATTAATATCAGTATTGATAGGGATAGCAACTGAAACCCACAGATCAGCTTTAGTATAGTAATAGGTGTCTGAAGAATTTCTTTCTTCCTAGGGTTGGCACAAGCAAGGTAGAAATGACATACTTTGCCCTTTATGTCTGGAAAAATAACAGGCAAGGATTCCCCCCCCCCAAGAGCCAATAAATAACCATTTACATCTGGTTTAAGTGAATACAACCCTGTCTGATATGAAGTAAGCAACTTCTTTTTTAAAAAAAATCTGTAAATATAATTCCTTTTACTAGGAAAAGCATTGTTGAGCATTTTTCATTATCAGCACTTTAATCTGGTATTTTCAGCATTTTACACAAGGGGACAGCAGTCTTCCTGAACAGAATGTATAAGCATTTGGATACTTATACTGCACTATATATGAAGTAATAGATCTGACTATAATACCTCTGTCTCTTTCTTTGATTGGATAAACTATTATAAACACTGTATGTAATGCCCCAAATATTCCTTATTCGCAAAATTGAGGTTTTGCATAATAGCATCAGAGGAAACGTCTAAACAATGTTTAACCTTGAGTAACTAACTTTCTGTTTCATGTTTTCTGTGAAAGCCATAACAAGATTGAATAGTGACAACAAGATGTGTAATATTCTTGTGCAGTTCTCTCATGGGGGGAGGGGGAGGCTTGCCCGCTTCTTTCTTCTTGGATTTCATAGCCTAATAATACCCTAGCAAGCTACAAATTCTACACATAAATCTAACTAGTTGTGGCAAAATGACACAGAAATTGCACTTTAAGAAATCTTAGTTTACAGAATAACAGAGTTAGAAGGGACCTTGGAGATCTTCTAGGCCAATCCCCTGTTCGACTCTATACCATTTCATTCAAATGGCTGTCCAATCTGTCCTTAAAAGACTCAGTGATGAAGCACCCACAACTTCTGAAGGCAAGCCATTCCATTGGTTAATTATTCTCACTGTTAGAAAATGTCTCCATAGTTCTAGTCTGGATTACAAAACTTTATTGCCCACAGATGTTAATTTATACCTGGTCTGTTATATTACTGATTCCTTTTAGACACATAGCAATACAGTTAGCTTAATCCTAGGTGATTATATTTGCCATATCTGTAAACATAAAACCATTGAGGTGAGTTACGCTCACCTGTCTGCTTGACACAGAGTATCTTGAACTAAGGCATATCCAGGAGTCAGCTGTTCAGCCTCTGCTTCAAGATCTCCAGCAAGAACTATAGAGTTCTCCAGCCTTCTAAATAATCGATTCAGTTGCCAAACTACTTTCATTCTCAATATCCCCCGCAATACATTTTATTCCTCCTTCACACATGCATATGATTTGCCAAATTGAAAATATATATGACAGTGAAGAAAAGTACATATGGTAATTTTCTTTTTTAGTTCTCAGAATAAATTATGTGATTACAAACAATCCATATGATTAAGACCATTGTGAGTTTTTGGGAACACCAAGTATACCCATATTTTTAAAATAGTTTGTCAAGTTGGTCTCAAATTCTTGCTTTGCATTTTTTATGCAATTAGTGATCTAAAAATGAAATTAATATATATTGACTTTTTTTCCTGTCAACACAATGTAATACCAAGAATTTTGCTGCACTTTCTCTCACAAACCAGAAAGAACTTCTTTTACTTGCAATAAAGACAAACTCATCACTGGATGAACTTATTACAAAAAGCTCACTGTTCAGTGAAACCAAATTCATTTCACCATATTATTAATTAAATTATGGCCCTCTTACAATAGCACAGATTTAAGATATTTTCATTCCTCTCATCCTTGTGGACAGTTTTCTAAAACAGATATGCTTGTGCTTATATATTCCTGTTATTATTGTCTCCAGTAAATAGAATGTTGTTTGTTTGTTTGTTTTTCCTTTCTATAATTTTCTTTCAGAAATGTATATCTTTTCATATTGGTTTCAAGGCAGTTATTGGAGAGTATGAATAGACACATTAAGAAGCAATTTGAATAGAATCAAAATGGGGCAAAATAAAAATCTGTGCACTAAGGAAGTGCACTCAAGCCACTTCAATTCTCTCTAAAATACCTCACCTACCAGTATGTTTCCACCCTCAGCTATTTCAAAATAATCAACAAAGCAGAATGTTTTGTGCTGTTATTTTTTGTTGAAAATTGCTGCTAAAAGCCTGACTCTTTTGTTTGGAAATTGTTCTCATATTCTAAGAATATCATATTTGGACAAGTACTGCAAGACGAGGCTTTGCTTTTGCTTTTGCAGTTGTGTTTCTTTTCCTGACTTGTAATGATTTGCCTTCTGATCCTGGAATTCAAGTCAGCTTGGAAGAGAGTTGGTCCACTTATCATTTGATCAGTTTTTCCCACTTCTTTATCATATGTTGTCATACCCTGTTTCTTTTTATATTATTTCTAATATTGATGATAAAATCCATGCAACAACTTAATCTTGATTTTATTTATGATTTGAGTTCTGCTTTGCTTTGCTTCTTGAAGAACAATTCATAGTGAGTAATAAAATGCAAACAACCAAACAACTAAAAACAAAATATAATTTAAAGCTTCAGGGGGGAAGATGTGTGTCCTTGTTCAGTGGATTTTAAAACACAAAGTTATGAAAAGAAGATTTCCATTTATATATTTTTAAAAATCATTTTGATACTGACTGTGCTTCAGAAAGTTGTATTTATTTTACCAAAATCCACCAATTGTGAATATTACAATTGGCACTTGTCTTTGCTGCTTCTTTTAATGTTCAGTTACCTGTCATTTTTCAATGCAATGAAGATATTAGATTTCTGTAGACCTTTGGATTAGTATTTAATTATAAATACTGTCTTAAGTGTTTATATTAATTCAAGAAATACTTTTAAGCAGAAGATGAATGTTTGTACCCATGTGAACCAAAGACTTACCCTATTAAAATTACAGCACCTTAAAATTTAAATTGCAGAGGGCTTCCTTTGCTACTTCATTTCCAAACTATCTCAAACTGTGTGATTTCTGTATTTAAAGATGATAGAGTTTGTGCAGCGTGAACCTTAGTAAAATAGTGAATTGTATACAGACATACTGTAAATCATCTTAGGCTCTCATAATCCACAGAGTTAGCTATTTTGAATTCAATTGTTTTATCTGGTTTAAATTTAAATCTAGATAATAACTGACAATATAAAAGCAAAATAGTTTCAGCTCTGCTGTTTGTGCCATTTAACTTCAACCGAGCCAAAAAAAAAAAAAAAAAGGAGGAGGTGGGAAACAAGATCTAAATTACTGATCTATAAAAATCTAGCAAGAGAATAATATATGCAGCTCAGTTGTCCTAAAAATCTCTGTTTAGGTAGTTGCATGAAATCTCTTATTACCACCTTCAGAACTTCTAAATAGCATGGATGAACTTCGTGCTATCAGAAGATCCTTAATATATTGACAAATCCAACAATGAATCTCAACACATTTTCAGATATGTGGAATTGGGAGGGGAAGGATGGCAGATGGTAGAAGGGAATTGCAGAGTGTGAGAAGGGCCCTAATATGCCGTGAACAAAGAGTGTTAAATAATAAAGTAATAAATCTTAAACTTTTTCCCCCAAGTCATTTGAAAAATCACTAGTTGTCTTAGTAGATTTATTCTGTACTGAGGAAAATATTATATTCTCTGCATTTTGAACAGCTGCCTGCCAATGGCAGGTACTAAGAAAGCCCCCCTTTACGTGAGATAAATAACTCAGGATAAATAACTATTCTGTTCCAGTTTGGGGTTTAGGATTGAACTTGATAACAAACTCAGTTTCTGTCATCAGAAAATTAGGAGGGGAATTATTTACATATATTCGTATCTAATCAAAACCCTTTCTGCAAACCTGAATGGAAACTGGATAAGCTGTAATTCTAAGACCATCATTGTTAAAAGAATAATTCTAACACCTTGAGAACCTCTGACTTGAAGGACAGCCTAATTTTCCTGCAGCTGCACATCGGATGGAAAATAGATTGGTAATAGAGAACCAACATTTCTCAGGGAAGCTTGCACTGTATATTCTTTCCAATCTTTTAATTTGCTCTTCTGAAACTTAACATCAAATGAACTTCTGAAGAATCCTTGCTTTTGAGGAAGATTGTTTAAAAACCACAGCCTGAGAACAAAGATATCACAAGACTGAAGGTTTTCATCAAACAGACAAAGGCAGCATTGCACCGTTGGGACACAATGTGCCAGCCTTTTCATAAGTGTGGGTAGCTTTCCAACATATATGGAAGAGGGGCAGAACTTGCGTGACAACCACACAACACTGCTTTTGTCATTTTCCTCAAGCCCCAAGCACTAGTAAATGGAAGCAAGGCCTTTGGGGTTTAAGTATATTAACACAGCAGATGATTCTCTTTCTTTTTTGTGCTTTACATTGTCTTTGTGATGCATGACATATTCCTTCCTCCCCCAGCCATTGCTGTCCTGAAATTCAGAGCACTTTAAGCAAACAATAGTAATTATTGGTCTCTCTTTGTCCCCGAGACTAATTTCCCCCCAAAGAATATTGCAATTCTGTTAACCCAACATTAGTAGCCTAGAATTGTGGTGAAATCTAAAAATATTAGTAGAGCCATATCCTCCAAAGAAGACAAAGCTCTTTTAGGGAATGAATTGCTGCTATTGTTGTTATTTACAGCAGGAATATAATTCGTATTTATCAAATGTGTATAAAATTGTAAAAAAAAAAAAATGCAGTTCCTCAGAAAACAACAGTTTTCTTCCTAGAAACGTCTCCATAAAAGTCTCTTTGTTGGGGGAAGAGAAATCGGAGACGTTCACAAGCACAGAATGATTCCTGATTCAGAGAGGTTTTATTTATTTATCAAATTTGGATTCCACATCCATCTCACTCTCAAGTGAGCATTTGTAGCCTGTTCATCCCAGTCTGGGGGATGATGATCCTACTTCTCCTGAAAAAAATGATGAGGCGCTTTTTATAGTGCTGCTGGGAGAATAGAAAGGATAACTTTGTAAATTGAATTACAGAAATATAATTATTATTTATTTTTTCAATGACTGTGACCTTATGCACTGTGAATGCTTTTGTGATATGGGGTTCTTTGTACAGATCTATATGTCATACTGAAAAATTGAAATGTGATAATTTATTAGACAATATTGGCATGAATATTGATTATTTTTATTGTGAAAAGAAGGGACAGAACCCAGTAGTTACTGTAAACAGAAGATTTATATTTAAGATAATAAACCTAGCAGTCAGTATTGCCAGGAGAAAGAAAAAGAGATACATACATACTTATGTACACAGTTAATAAAACGTATAAAAACAACAGGAAACTGGTGTCATTTTTTTTTGAAAAGTATACTCAGATATTTAGAAAAAACACTGAATTGTTTAGTCCTATATTCAGAAGCAATCTGCATCATTATTGTTTTTTCACAAGCTGACATTATTTCAAGGAGAACATTAATTTCATCACCAGCTACATCATCATCATCATCATCATCATCATCCTCATAGCTAGGAATTATCAGAAGTATGGCCTACCTCTTCTAAATGGCCTCAGGCTGGAAAAGGTCAGGGAAACCATGACAGCAAATCCAAGGGGAACCTTTATATTGTAGATAGAGCCAATCTAAACTCTTGCTACTTGGGATAGCCCTTACTTCAGTAGAGTCAAGACTTAAGGAATCAGAGGATGCAACGCATCATCAGAATTAAGAGAGTCAACACCACCATTTTAGATTAATACTGTAAATGAATTCCTGCAAAATGAGATCTTAAAGTTATGAGATCTTAAAATTATTCAGAAGTTATAGAATCTGAATTTTAAAAAAAATGTATCTAGAAGAACGCTGCAAAACTTGCCCTGCAGTAAAATGCTGCTTTGGAGAATAACCCCCTTGGCCTGATTTATCTGTGCTAGCCTGTGAGTGTATCTTAGAATAGAATAGAATAACAGAGTTGGAAGGGACCTTGGAGGTCTTCTAGTCCAACCCCCTGCCCAGGCAGGAAACCTTACACCACTTCAGACAAATGGTTATCCAACATTTTCTTAAAAATTTCCAGTGTTGGGGCATTCCCAACTTCTGCAGGCAAGTTGTTCCACTTATTAATTGTTCTAACTGTCAGGAAATTTCTCCTTAGTTCTAAATTGCTTCTCTCCTTGATTAGTTTCCACCCATTGCTTCTTGTTCTACCCTCAGGTGCTTTGAAGAATAGTTTGAATCCCTCTTCTTTGTGGCAACCCCTGAGATATTGGAACACTGTTATCATGTCTCCTCTAGTCCTTCCCTTTATCAAACTAGACACACCCAGTTCCTGCAATGGTTCTTCATATGTTTTAGCCTCCAGTCCCCTAATCATCTTTGTTGCTCTTCTCTGCATTCTTTCTAGAGTCTCAACATCTTTTTTACATCGTGGCGACCAAAACTAGAGGCAGTATTCCAACTGTGGTCTTTCCTAGGCATTATAAAGTGGTATTAACACTTCACGTGATCTTGATTCTATCCCTCTGTTTATGCAGCCTAGAACTGTGTTGGCTTTTTTGGCAGCTGCTGCACACTGCTGGCTCATATCTAAATGGTTGTCCACTAGGACTCCAAGATCCCTCTCACAGTTACTACTGTTGAGCAAGGTACCACATATATGGTACCAGTACATTTTGTTTTTCTTCCCTAAATGTAGAACCTTGCTTTTTTCACTGTTGAATTTATTTTGTTAGATAGCGCCCAATGTTCAAGTCTGTCAAGATCCTTCTGTATCTTCTGGAGTGTTGGCTATTCCTGCCAGCTTGGTGTCATCTGGCCTGGACTGATGGGGTAGTATATTTTAAAATTTTTAAAACTTTTCATATTTTATGTATATTTGTTGATTTTAACAGTTGCTTGGTCGATTGTTGTTGTGAGCCGCCCTGAGTCCTTGGAGATAGGGCGGCATACAAATTTTATCAATCAATCAATCAATCAATCAATCAATCTGCAAATTTGATGAGTTCCCATCTATCCCCTCGTCCAAGCCATTGGTGAAGATGTTGAAGAGCACTGGGCCTAAAACAGAGCCCTGGGGTACTCCATTGCATACTTCCCTCCATGCAGATGCAGTTCCATTGAGGACTACATGTTGAGTGCAGTTGGTCAGCCAGTTATGAATCCATCTGGTGGTGATGCTGTCTAACCCACATTTTTCTACATCTAGTAGTAGGTTATGGTCTATTTTATCAAATGCTTTACTGATATATCCCCTTCCTGATATATCCCCTCAATTGTGTCAACTCACTGACTAGCACAGAGCTGCATTAAATAAAGGGTAGCCCTGCCAGTTAAAAAACCCCACCTTTGTCAGTTTCGCCTTGGGGCTTGGCAGAAAATCACTGATCTCCAGACACAGAAGTCTTCGTTCAGCTTCTTGGCTGAACTTGGCAAAGATTTATGGCCCAGCTGGATTAGAATTTTTATGGCAGATAAGAATGAATCCTCACTCATGACCCATTACAGTGCAAGTATATCAGAGAGGGCTACACACACACGCACACCGCTTGAAACACAAAGCATCTTCCACTCACCATTCTGAACTAATGGATTCTTGATAGGCAACTGAGCCTGGCACAGAATTGGGAGGGCAGCAGCATGAAGACAGTTTGGTCATGGCTGCATGCCTCTGTCCATCCTTAACTGCTAGTTGCTTCTCTTTACCTTCCAAGAGTCAGATAAAGCTTCTCTGAGGAGAAGTGAAATGGGAGAACCTGCTCTTTGTCAAAACCAAAGGAAGCTGAAAATAAAAGAAAGGAAAATCAGGTAAATATTAGAAGGAATTCCATGATGCTCTGCGGAACCCTGTTTATGCTGAACAAGAGGCTCTAGAGTAGATCACCAATAACATTTAAAGAAAAAATTAAAGAAAAAGTGGCCATCATATTAAGCCCCCCCCCCAAAAAAACAAATATACTGTATAGTTTAACATTTGCAGAATAGGCCATCAAATTGTTTTTCTGAATATTGCTTGGTACTTTGAATTAAAATCTGAGATGTTCTGTATGGATACTGTACAGCAGCAGCCCCCAACCCTTTGGGCATCAGGGACTGGTTCCATGGAGAAAGGTTTTTCCGTGGATGTAGTTCCAGAGGCGTAGTTTCGCGTGCTGCCTGCATCCCGTGCATGGGGCTTCACTTATTTATGCAGGCCGATTGCTGGCATGCCAGAGCCCTGTGTCGGTCCAGGGACCAGGGGTTGGGGACCTCTGCAGTACAGAACCAGGTAGCTTCATTAAAGTGCATCCCTTCAATCTTTAAACTGGCAGAATAGTTATCCTGGCATAAATTTGCTGCCCTAACGGTGGGTAGAAAAAATACAAATGTAATAACAAAAGAAAAAAGCAGATGGGTATGTGAAACACACACACACACACAATGGTAGAAGCATTTGAAAACCTATAATACCCCCACCCACCCCAATAGTGATGGATGCATCAATAAATAGATTTCAAAACCTGGTTCTCTTTCCTGGTTTAAATTGGGTTCTGTACAGCACAGCACTAGTGCACTCTCAAAAAAGCATTAATCTTGTTTTTAAACAGGGTCACCACTCTAGAAAGATAAGCCCAAGTAAGAAACTGCCAGCCTAAAACGGGCAACAGATCCTGCCCTTAATTGCAATGGTAACCACAATGATGAAGAGTGTTACATTGAATCCGAGGCCAAAATTGTATCACAAGAAGAGGGGAACATTTTTCTGGATAACTAAAAACAGGAACAGCTAGAGATGAGTAATTTCCTCAGCTGTGGAGGAGATGAAGAATCACCAAACTTGTCTCGCTGCACAAAGTGTATTGAAAGAACTGGAAAAACTGGCTTGGTCAAGTATATGACGAAATTTGTCCTGCAAGTGTTAACAGTGAAAAGTGATAGATTTCATGGAGATATGGCTCTCTACATTTGGTTCAACTGTGCTCTGAATCATTTAGCAGGAGGTTAAACTATGCCCTTGTGAGCCTTCCAGAATGAGGATGTTGTTACAGGATACAATAAGGGGACCACAGGGAAAGATGTGGCATGATCTGTGGTTTATTTTATTCATTTGCATGTTTCCAGGTTGTCCTTGACCACAATCTGTATTTTTGGATGGCCTGTTCTTAGCCAACGTGGAAGGTGTTAGATGTATTTGTACAACAAAGAATGGAGAGATGGATTTAGGGCATTTATTGTGTTGATCCTCCTGAACTGATAGTCATCCACAATCTGCATAATTTTCTCAACTGCAGGTGGGTCCTCCTGTCTCAGGCAATTCTCCCCAAAATAACCCATGTGACTGGTTTAATTGTTGTTTGTAAAGTCCTATTGGGATCATGAAGTATTTTTTCCCCTCTGGAATATTCATATCAGATTGTGATCCTGTTAGTAAAGGTAAAGCTTCCCCTCGCACATATGTGCTAGTCGTTCCCAACTCTAGGAGGCGGTGCTCATCTCCGTTTCAAAGCCAAAGAGCCAGTGCTGTCCGAAGACATTTCCGTGATCATGTGGCCAACATGACTAAACACCAGAGGTGCACGGAACACTGTTACCGTCCCACCAAAGGTGGTCCCTGTTTTTCTACTTGCATTTTTTACGTGCTTTCGAACTGCTAGCTTGGCAGAAGCTGGGACAAGTAACAGGAGCTCACCCCGTTATGCGGCACTTAGGGATTCGATCTGCTGAACTGCTGACCTTTCGATCAACAAGCTCAGTGTCTTAATCTTGGTTATACTGTTTTACTGAAGTCACAAAGCACACACTTAAGTGCAGCCAGCCATCAACTAGTTGATTGGGTTCAAGGATCCAGTGAAACACAAACTAGCAAACCACATTTTAGCCTTAGTGTACTCTATGAATCTAATCAAGATGGGGGTAGTAGATGGAGATACTCATGAGGAACAAGAGAGAGAAAAGATATTTCATTTTACATTTGTTTGTGGCAGAGACGGTATAGCAAGGTGATGGTGATGGAAATCAAATTATTACGTGAAAGGAAGTCTAGAGTTACCTCTTCACAGTTTTTTCATTGTCACAGCCTTATTATTATATTTGTGTGATTCTCCACCCTTTTCTAATTCAATTTATTTCCGATACAGTTGCAGGATATTTTAAATTGCACTAAAGGGTATCTTTATGTTTGAAATTCTAAAACTCCAGAGAGTTTAGGGGTGGGATAGGATGTTGATCTATTGATGTGAATTCTTGTTTCATCCCATCTTCCAAAAAGGGTTCTTACTGCCATCAATGTTGACTTTGGCTAATGAAAAAATCTCATTTAAGTAGAATTTAAATGACAAAAGTACAAAAGTAATTAATAAGATTCATCATATAGCCTGTATTTCTAATAAGGAACTTTGCTCCTATTGTTCTGTAGTTTCAGGCCAAGGACCTACTGCTTAATCTTTAGGAAGACTTTCTCAGCCCTTGACATCATCAGATATTGGACTGGCAAGCTATAATAATTCAAGTCTGAGAATAATTCTTGGAATTATCGACTAAGATTACTAGGAACCATCTCAAGAGGCCAATTTTAGCCAGTACTTTAATTGGCAGGATCGCATACAAGCCTTTATGGAAGCAAGGCTCAGGCTAAATTACAACTAAAGAAGAGCACCAGGCCCACAGTGAGGATCTAATAGTATTAACTCATAAGATTATATTGCTTTCCCTTTTGTGTGAGTTGGGAAATGAAATATTGAGACTGGCTGTGGTTCAGGATGGGAATAGGTGAATGCTGTTCTTCTCTACTGCTCCATTGAATAATGTTTCAAAGTTAGGGGTCATGAAGACTTGACTTCAAAAAGCTTTATAGGGATGGGGAGGGGCAAGTGCTTTTGGCACATGAGAATGGGTCATCTTTCTCTGTCATCCAGGTTGTGTAACACTTTCAGAACAATGATCATACATTTTAAAGACAAATGTTAGTTGGCTGCAGATCAGGACTTTTGCTAATGAGATACTAATTCATCATGTAATAGCAAGCCCAGATATTTTGATGCAACGTCATTGGAAAAGTGGCATCCCAGCATTAAGAATTCCATTCTCACAGGTCCTATGTAAACAACATGAAGGCTTCCAGACTCCATCTGGTTCCAGTTACACCCTTGCATACACAACTCAGGAATTTGCAGATGGATATTGCTCTGCCGTACAAAACCCTTTGCAGGACTTACTGTACCTAGTCAGTGCAGCCTCTCCTCCATAATGTACCTGCAAGCCAGATGAACTCATGGATTCCTCTGACTTTAAAAGAAAAAGCAGGTACAGAGCTGGTGACTAATCATCACAGGCCTTTTGCCTTTAGCCATCAGAGTTAAAGTTTATGACTAAAAATGGGCCTGTTTAAAAAAAAAAAGTAGAGGAAAGAAAACAAATCACCCTTGACCACCAAGGACTGCCTCTTCCTGACGGCCCCTGTTCACATAAATACAGGAAGTAGAAAAGAAAGATCATGCTCTTTTCAGAGCGTTTGGGAGTCAATTGAAACAGCGGTGAGGAAAAGCTTCCCTTGCCATTGTGCCGAATCCATCATCTGCAATTCTTCTTCTTTTTTAAATCTGGGGTGGGGGACACGGTCAAGAGGCGTGAAAGTTTTGACGGAAATGCCAAGGTATAACTTTCTCCACAAGGAAAACTTACAAGGATTCTGAAAGAAGAAGTTTCCGATTCTGGCTGGGATGATGAAAACATCGATGGGAAACCAGGGAAGTGGGTGAGTCCTGAAACTTTAATAGCGATACTTTTTTTTTCCAATTCCCAAAGGAAAGGAGTTTCTGTGTCGTCTCGTCTCTTCCCCCCACCCCCCACCAGCCTCAGGCTGCTTGTTTGAGAATTTGTCTCTCTTGAATGGTCGCTGGCTGGCTTTATGTAAAGGCGCCAGAAGTGCAACTTACAAGATAACATTCACAGCCCTCTCTTCAGCGGAGTGCTGATTTAACACAACTGCAAGGGGGGGGAAGGGGGAAGAATTACAATGGAGAGGAAATGAAGGCGAAGGGAGGTGAAGGAGTTATTTTTATACCCTCATGGTTGATGTCTGGAATGAAAGCAAAACATACTCGTGAATCCAGAGGGAAAAAAACAGGCTTTATTTTTTCCCATCATTTCACCAGAAGCGGCTGAAGAATGACAAAACTTGCAAAGGTTAGGAATGACACTTTTGTCTGTAACTTGGTGCCCATCTGTAGCCAACCTCTGCTTGGGATCCAAATGAAATGTTCCCATTATTTTGGCCCTACGCTGTCAGAAAAACTTTTCTGCGTCCCAAGCTGCTATTACTTGGACCAAAATAAAGAACCATTCCTAAAACTTACATAGCTTACTGAATATGCAGACTTTAAGACTGTGGACAAACACCACACATGTCCCATTGCTGTGGTCCAGGGTGAAGACAAAGCTATGGCAAATTTTTAACTTTGCAAACAGATGCTTTTGATTTTATTTATACCCCACCCAGAAGTGCTCTGTGAAGGAAATGGGCAATTCTAAATTTGAACATATATAAATAAATACATGGTTCCACTTAATGTGGTAAGCTTTGGAGAAACCAGGGATGTTAAGTGTTGGGAGAGATTCAGGTTGAATGGGGAAGTGATGCTCATAATCACAAGGTTATCAGCTAACCCTAATAAAGTCACTAATCACTAACATGTTTTTTACAAATGTTTTTGAACTGGTATATACGTTCCTTGTAATACAACTTGTTTTCTGTGCTTATTAGAAGGATATTCCCCAGCGTAAAAGCCTTTCCTATAATATTAACCATAAAACAAAGGACATTTAGTCTAAATATTAAAAAGGACTTTGTGATAGTAAAAGTTATTAGGATCAAACAGTTATGGATTTCTTCTCTGTAGGTTTTTGAACAGAAACTAGATAGTGATTCTAGCAATGAATTGGACTTAGTTGCAGATTTCTTTTGATTCATAACTTTCTGTGAGTCTATGAAATTCTAGTTTTGGCAAGCCAACCGTACTAGAAGCTACTGTCTGCATCTGAGATACTTTTCATTTCATTTCATTTTCATTTTATTAAATTTGTATACCACCCTACTCCCGAAGGACTCAGGGCGGTGAACAGGCATAAAATAAAACACATAAATACGAAAGTTAAAACATGATTAAAACCTAATTAAATAATTTTTGCCCGAGACAATTTAAAACTCCCAATAATTTAAAACAAATTAAAATTTGAGTTTAAAAATTTAAAAGAAGGGGAAAAAATTAGGCCAGGCCGGCCTGCTGGAATAGGAGTGTCTTCAAAGCACGGCGGAAAGTGCGCAGATCCGGGATCCTCCGTATCTCCGGGGGGAGCTCGTTCCAGATAGTAGGTGCCCCCACAGAGAAGGCCCTCCCCCTAGGGGCCGCCAGTCAACATTGTTTGGCTGACAGCACCTGGAGGAGCCCCTCTCTATGAGAGCGTACCGGCTGGTGGGAGGCTGTTTGTGGTAGTAGGCGGTCCCGTAAGTAGCCAGGTCCTAAGCCATGGAGTGCTCTAAAGGTGGTAACCAAAACCTTGAAGCGCACCCGGAAGACCACCGGGAGCCAGTGCAGCTTGGATACGTTTAGTACATGGAAATCATATTGTTGGCAATCATGACTAGGTAGGCTTCACAAAGTTTTATCAATGCTGGGCATGGCCAGTCACAAAACGGATGCCAAACTCCAAGGATGCCCCTTAGCATTGAATGCATACCTTCTTTTTCTTGGCAGGTGGGTTCATTTGGAACAAAACACATCTTCATTTCCTATTACTCCTGAAATGTCTTTCTGCTTGCCATTTATTTTTTTAGTTAAAAGATTGTTTTAAAAGATGAAGATCATTGGCATCAGAAAGTTTAATAGATGCCAAGTGAAAAGTTAGTGGATGTATTGCTGCTTATGAGCACTATATTGCCTGCTCCTTCTCTGCCTGTCGATTCAAAGACAGCAGTTCTAAGGCTCCAACATCTTAGAATAACAATACCTTAGAAAAACAGCCTAACAAAATTAGCTTATATGCAGGCAAAATTGCATTACATATATTTCTCTCTGCATTGCTTTATGCACAAGCTAGTTAGTTGTTAATTACTAGCAAATGCAATGTTTCTTATTGCTCTGCGCATATATTGTATAGCAGCTTCGGAAAAGAAGAGAGGACTTGGTGGTAGAAGAACTGAACTGCAGGTGAGCAGACCACAATCTCTCTTTAATTTAGAAGGCAGATTTTCCAACTTCACAGAGATGTGTTTACAGTAAATTGAAATGTAAAATCCATGTGGCAACTGGATTCTATGAAGTAATTAAGTCCACAAACAGTTCAAGAAACTATAGCTTTGGTGAGCAAAGCTGGACTGATAAAGAGGGGAAAAAATACAACAGCAAAATAAATCCCAAATGTTCTGGCAGAGTCATCATCTCAAAATTCCTTGGTAGTTAAAGCCATAATATTGTATGCAGGTTATGTGATTTTAAGCTCATGAATTTAGATTAGACTGTAGAATGACTTCAGTGAAGTAAAGTATAATTGGGAGAGTATTTATATAAATAATTTGCAAGGAAGGACAGGATGCCCAGCAATTTTAGGGTTCTTTATATGGGAGAACTACATATGGAAATGGAGAACTTTCAATTTCTATGCTTAATGTAGTTGATGCATCTGAGAGTGAAACTCAAATGTAATCTTATTTTCTAATATAGTACAGTAAAAACAGTCCCAAGAAGATGACATCACTATTTATAAGTGCACTTTTTAGAACAGTATAGTGTACCAGCCACTACAAATATACGTTTTACACACCCTTGAATGCTATTTCCTATGCAAAAATTTCCAGAGAGCATAAGAAAGTACATGAGAGATAGATCTGAACTGACAGAGAAAGATTGGAAGCACATGCATATTTGAAATATTTCAATGACTGCTCTCAGTTACATCTGGCAATTCAATCTTTATCATAAAGCAGAGTTAGGGAGGAAAATTTTACAGGGAGTGAGCAAAATGACATACCAGTAATTGTCAAAATGAAATTGCAACACATATATGCCTGCCTGTCTGCCTGCCTGCCTGCCTATCATCATACAATGTATTTATAAATTAATTATATATATTATGTTATGATATATATTGTATATATAATTGTTTTTCTACTTTGTATAGAATTACCCTAGCAATTACCCTAGCAATGTAACACCTCTCCTGTGCGAGCTGCACTGGCTCCCGGTGGTCTTCCGGGTGCGCTTCAAGGTTTTGGTTACCACCTTTAGAGCACTCCATGGCTTAGGGCCTAGTTATTTACGGGACCGCCTGCTGCCGCAAACGGCCTCCCACCGGCTGGTACGCTCTTACAGAGAGGGACTCCTCTGGGTGCCGTTGGCCAAACAATGTCGGCTGGTGGCCCCCAGGGGGAGAGCCTTCTCTGTGGGGGCACCTACTATCTGGAACGAGCTCCCCCCGGAGATACGGAGGATCCCAGATCTATGCACCTTCTGCCGCGCTCTCAAGACCTTTTTATTTCACCAGGCTAGTCTGGCCTAACCTCTCCCATTCTCTTTTTAATGTAAATTTTAATTTGTTCTTAACCTGGTGTTTTAAATTTGTCTTGGGCTAAATTGATTTAATTCGATTTTACTTCTGCTCTTAAATTTTTGTATTCTATGTGTTTTATCTTGTGCCTGTTCACCACCATGAGTCCTTTGGGAGTAGGGCGGTATATAAATCAAATAAAATGAAAAAAAAATGTAAATGACTCAAATCATACTGCCCTTTTTGGTACAACAAAAGAATAATATTTAGGCCATATGTAGCATTTTCTACATATGCAGATCTAAGCAGATCTCTCCCCCCCCACCGCCCAAAGTAGGCCCTCACTGGGAATTGCTTTTTAATAAGTATGTTTTATCAAACTGCGATATAAATTATAATCTGGTGGCAAGTCTATATGAACCTTTTCTCCTAGCATCATGACATCTGACTCAGAAGCACACCACCTATTCCCCAGCCAGTCTTTCTGAAGAGATTTTAACTCAGTATTCATTTTTTCTCCAGACTGCCTTTCTGAAGGCTGGTGTCTATGTTCCATTGTGAGATTGTAATCCATCATGAAGTTATAGCTGTTTTGATGTGTTTGGAAATCCAGCTGTACTCAAATAAGGGTTTCCACAAGGGAATAAAAAAAAAAAAGATGGCACCCATGGCACTGAGCAATCCTACCCCTTATTTACAATAGTGCTGCTTTGACTTTTTTGGCCCTCCCCCTGCCCCGTGCCTCTGGGCTCTGCAGTTTTATCTCCTCTGAGGACAGTAACAGGATGATGGAAGGAAATAAAGAGAAGGAAATAAAAAGCAAACAAGACTATGCACAGCATAATTAGAGCCAGGAGAGTTGCTGCAAACTATGCATAATTATGTTTTAATTTTAATTTTTGCTTCTGAACAAATTTGAATATTTTTAGGAAATTATTAGTTAAGCATCGATCCTGCCACGATTTGACCAATGATTGAGAAAAAGATTAGGTAATCTTATTGTATGCCAATTTCAGAGTAGCCTTAAGGTACAGTAGATTTCTACAACTCTGCAGTTGCACTCCAGATGTGGAATTGCCAGGTGGCAATTCTCTATTGGCTGAGGAGATTAGCACCTCTGGAAGGCTTCAGGTTGGGGAATATGTCAAGTATGCAGTATGATGAATAACTGTTGAAAATCTATGAACAATTTTGCAATGACTGCTGGTCACA